CCCCCAACAGAACATAGTGCTAGTTCTGGACTGATGCTAGTGTCAGTTGGTTTAAGAACCTTCTAAGAACTGCTTTACTTTTCCACGGGCTAGAGAGCGACCACAGAGCCACTGTACATGTCTCCAACATTAGCTATTGTTGCTAATAGTACTACTAAGTAAATAGCTACTTACTTAGTAGTATTATTTTGTCACATAAATATGACTAATGTTGAAGTAACAATACATTTACAAACTTCTTTCAAACGAAACATAATGCTCTCCTGCATAATAACCAACAGCTAGCTGGCTAGCTATGTAGTTCAGTGTTACTGTCTGTTTATATGTGCTAAACAGCTGATAAATACATAGCTAGCTGGCCACAAGGAGTATCCAGCTCCTGTTGTGGGTGGTTCTTGGACCAACAAAATGGTGGTGCCATGCTGGAACCAGTTTTCCCGTTCCGGAGCCGACTCTTAGCTTAGCTGTTGAAACACAAAGAACTGGTTTGATATTAGACCCCAGCTCCGAACCAGCCCAACTTCCTTGTTGGGAAGTCAGTATTAGAGACTTACGGAAGAGGATTAGGGCCACATATGAAAAATGTGTTTGACTTGGGTTTTTTAAACTTTAAAATCAGAACTCAGATTTTTCTAATCTTCTTCCGTAGAGACTGGTGTACCAGTATATGAGCTTTGAAGATCAGTAACCACTAAAAAACAGCTATTCTATTACACAGTGCGTGGTTAACCCCCTGTTGCTTTTGATTTGATGAAGTAAGCTTAGATTTTACTTTCACTTCTCCAAAAACATGTTTAGAACTAGTTATTAGTAGGAAGTGTTGGACCTGTGATGCCATGTACAGTGCAGGCTGGGACTTTTTCAAGTTCACTTCATCTACAGTAAAAACAGGAACATTTTTAGAACAGACTTAACAATATTTCTATATAGCTAATTACAGAAGTATCGACAGGGTGGATCTAGAGAAATATTCATGAGCCAGAGGGTGGCATGGAGACTTTAAGGGGTGGCAGAAATATTTGCTGATTTAATCATAAACATTCACATACATCAATATTTGCTTAGGAAAGCCCCCAATGAAGATATTTGAACTCAAAAACATTATTGTGGCACATCAGTAAAGCACTGAATAGAAATATCTAAAGGTGAGATATCAATAAATTGTTTTATTTACAAATGTTTTGATATTTATTTAATTTTTTTTATTGACCTTAAGGTCCAGTGTGTAACATTTAAGAGGATCTATTGGCAGAAAAGCAATATCATAGTCCACCACATTGAACCACAATGTTTCTACAGTCGCAAAGAACGGACAAACCAAACACTGGCTCTAGATGGGGCTGCTTTTTTGCACGGTTCACCGTCACCGTAGTTTCTCCTACATGCTTGGAAGGGGAGGGTGAAGCGACAAAGTTGTGATGTGCAACTAAACAGCTAGATGCAACTTAATCTCACACACTGGTGCTTTAAGTCCGTCATTGTTGTTGTTGTTATGACGCTTCTAGCGGCGGCGGCTGAGGTTAAAGGCTAGAGAGGCGGGGCTAATCCGTCATCGTTTCGGAAAAAATCTGTTTCGCCGTCCTGACAACTCCGGGCAGTCAGGCGTTTTCGGATTTTCCCACTCTGGGACCCGTTTCCAAAAAATACTGTTTTCACACCCCAAAAACGCTGTATCCGTCTGGACGCGAGGCCGATATGATAAAGTATTCATCCGGAATCGAGAAAAACGTATTCGTGAGGACAGGCCCTAGATCCGGCCCTGATCATCAACCCCTATATTTGTGCTGCCTGCAAGACTGTGTCCTGTATTTGCTTTGACATTGTAAAAGAAGACAGTATGTGCCGTAGCTTCAGTTGTTATCTCCTATCAGTGTAAGTCATTATCTCACCCATGTGCTGAGAATGACAGTTAGTTAATGACAGGTTAGGCATGTCACAGAGCTCTGTGAGAGAGCTCCATGGGAAGGAGGGCAGTTTAAGTCTTATTTCTGTACAGAGTTCACTTGTACACCTGATACACAACTCAGGATCAATTCTCGTGCCAGAATACAACATTTGTTTCCCAAAGCTATGTCAGTCATTTTATACTGACAATTCTATTCTTTATTCTTTTATTTATCTATCATAAACCAAGATTCCATTAAGTAATTCCAAGTGCACAAAATGAAACAGTGGAAATCTTTTGTGAAAAAAACAAAGGATTTAATAAAAACACAGATTTCTAAACTAAATGTGACAAAAGACAAAAGACAAAACAAGAAAAAGCAGAGCATGAAAATTGATGATTCACTGATAGTTTATAGAGTGGTATTGATGTCAGTGAAAGCATTAAATAATAGAGTTATAAAACATGGTTATAGAATTGTAGAGGTATTATTATGGAAGTGTAATTCCAGTGATGCAATACAAAACCACACATATATTAACTATACATACTTGTAAAGAATAGCTGCAGATATAGAATTACACAGTTAACTCCGTCTTCGAATTTGACACCTTTTGTCTTCTCTTGAAATCCACCTGAGAAAGAATCTTTTTGATGTCTGATCTGTCCTTGGCAATCTTCTGCAGACGGGTTCACACATCCAGCATTCATTGTGTCCAACGGAGACATCGGATCATGCGGCTGGTGGTCGTAACCTTTCCGCCTCCACAAGGAGAAGAATTCCTCTGTGCGGTTGAGGATTGGAGAGTAAGGGGGAAGGAAAAGTGACACTATCCTCAGATGGACTGTAAACCAGTCTGTGACTGGAAGAGAACAGTGAAATACCACATCGGACTCTGGATTTCCCCTGACTTGCCCTCTTTCCTCACTTGGTACAGGTCTTTCTTTAAATCCATCAAGAAATGAAAATAGGCATTCAGTGTCCCAAGTAGGAGCGCAATTTCCTTTTTAGTTATGTTGAATGTAAATGTAACAGTTTTGAAAAGAGTAGTGTATGTAAATGTATAAAATGGACTGTAAATACCCAGAGGTTTGGTGGTTGAGTTTGAGTGAGAAAACGGTTTTGAAAGATGTGATTATTTTGTGATTCACAGTTTAGTCCACATTGACTGCTGTTGTGCTGACTGTGTGAAGAGTTTTGAAAAAGTCTAAATACGTGTTATTCATTGAAGCTGTAGGAGTTGATATGCTTTTTTATTTTTTCAGTTGCCACCAGCAGGTCTGTAGCTCACTTTAATGGTCAGTCAGTTAGTTGATTGTTTGTCAGTCCACAAAAATGTCCCTACCCTTTGGCATTAATGCATGAACACATGGTCACAGCTATTGTGAATTCACGCATTAATTTTCTTTTTGTTAGGAAGAGGCCTACTGCAAATCTAGTTCTTGTGTGGAGTATTTTTCGTGGTTATCTCAGACCTTGAATTAGTGTAGAAAATGAGGAGTTAGAAACCTGCCTGTGCAGCATGTTTGTCCTGCTGTATATTTGCACTTACCGTCCCAAACATGTTTCTTCTTGGAAAAAGCTTATCCAGATTATCTATTTCCAAACTGTCAGTACATCACAGTGAGAGAATAGCTTTCAGACTGTTTAGGAGGAGCTGATTTAATGTATTGTAATGCATGACAGCAGATTCTTCCAATGCCACCCCATGTTCTTGTAATTCCACTCATGCGTTTAACCCCACTTTGCATTTTTGCTATCAACTGTTCAGAAAAACAATGTGTAAGACCTTATAAATGTAAGTTTGGATGTCACTTAGAGATGACTAAACCATGCAGTATACCTGCTTTTGTGTCAGTGTAATGTTAGACAGCTCATTAGAATAAAGCATTGTTAGGTCAGGTGTCTCTCTGTAAGGCCACTCACATGTTCCCGTTCTGTTGTCACAGTTCCTACTTCCTCTGCTTGAGGGCTTGGTCAACAAGACAAAAGCGTTGTGGAAACGTGTCGGAAAAGTTTCCTCCCAGAACTACTGGAGGCCTGTTGCATCACATGCTCAAACATTAGCCCTTCTGTGTTTCATATTGCATGTGCGTTCCCCTCTGGGTTTGTGTTGTAAACAAGGCAGGGTTACACTGACATGGTCTGTGGGTTGTTCAAAAGACATGACATGGATGAATTATTTGGAAGAAAGTGTCTTTCACACTATTACTGTGTGTTCACCACCGTTCTTTGTCTTTGGAACCTTATTTCCAGGTACAATGTTGATAAAAAAATTTTAACATCCAGCCCCAACGTTATAGTTTTTTATATAAATTATCTGTGCATGGAAACCACAGTATGGTTTCGGCTATAGGTAAAGATTACTTCTATGGCAAATAAGTTATGGTTAAAATATTGTCATGGTTAGGTAGTTAGTTGGTGTGAAAGTCATATTTCAAAACAGAAGAAAAAGAAGCTTTGAAAGGCTAAAACTGTTTGAAAGCTTCAAATCTAATAAAAAATGTTATGCAAGATTAAAACAAAGTTTTGAAGGCTTGGAGAATGTTTTGATAGGCTCAAGAAAATTTCAGATCTCTGCAAACGAATTTTCCATCTTCACAACTACAGCAGTCTTTTTGCAGTGTTTCTCCAACACAGTTTCAAATCTGTCACTGTTCTCCCGGTGTATTAGTTTGTTTTCTAGGTTTAAATTTCTTCTGCTGAATTACTCAAAATCTTGTGATACATTCGAAACACAGCTAATCACTGATGTGCACAGGATACACAAACAGGATACAGAGTTCTCTGTGCAGTCTGCCTGCCACAGGCACTGCTCAGGGACAGCCAGACAGGACTTTATCTCTAGTTCTCACAGTTGTATCACTCTCATACAGAAACACAACCCTCTTCTTGCATAATTGGATTGTGAACAACATAAATACTGTAAACCAACTTCTGAATGTTAATTGTGAATTTAATAATAATGAAGACAGACTAAAACATTGTTGGTTTTGGTCTTTTTATGGGTTTTGTTGACAATTACAAACATATAGAACACCAGACTGATCCTTGGAACTTGCAGACAGCATGGATAACAAGCCCCTCAATGATTTTGTGGTTTTCTCTCTGCAGGATGAGGACATTGTGAACTCTCGCAGCTCAGCTAGGGCCTCTGCCGCGTAGATGGAGCGGCTCCACTGGGTGCAGCATCGCTGTCGGCAGCTGCTGGCAGGAGACTCGGGGCGAGGCTGGTACTCTGCTCCCGATGGGCTGCCCAACAAAAGCTCACTGGACGCCCACAGCTCCCCGCATAGAGTCATCGGGAAGCGGAGAACGGTGTTTGCCCGCCACGGGCCCCACCAGCAGGAGTACGAAGCCGTCTACAAAAGCTACAAGGGCAATGCCATCCGCACTACCAAATACAGCTTGTTGACTTTCATCCCCATGAACCTGTTCCAGCAGTTCCACAGGTCAGATTTTTACTTGTACAAGCAGCACAAAATACATTTTAATTTCATTTTCCATTACGCAGGAAACCCTCTAACTTTGATAAAGCTTATTTAAATTGAAACTATACAGTACCAGTGTTTCTGCAAGTTTTAGGCCATTCATGAAGCATACAGTTTTCGTATATGCTAACTACTTTCCAAAGAATGCAGTGTTCTGCATGTTGGAATGTGTTCCTCTAGGCAGCCTTTTGGTTTCCCACGTTGGAGGTTCATCATGTTCCAAGTCGCTGTAGATGATAATGATGCAGATTAAACATCTGAATGTGAATGAAATCGTTCATTTTGTTTCTTTCCGATGGAATGGACCCACAGTTCAGACATTTAATCCTGCAAAACAACCCTAAAGTTGTGTCCCATTTCACAGGTGACTTTCTCTGCCTTTGTCCTCATTTCAAGATCAAATCCACCACATGCAGCTTTTGTCAACATTTACACAGCCATTGTATTCTTTTAGGTATTCACTGTCCCAGAATTTGTTGCACATTGGTTTAGTTTTGGTCTCTTAAATGAGCGGAAATGATGACAATGCTATAGAGAATCTGAATTTCTTTATACAACCCTGCGCTGTAAAATGACAATTGAATTACCCAGTATCCTTGTATAAACCTGTATGTACTGTCACTTGGGAGAAGGCCATCCATTTAACAGCTGCTGAGATATTTCAGTCCGAACCAGTGGTTGACTGACCAACTGACAAACAGGAGACGCATGCTGCTCTGCTAGTACACCTTTGGAAATGGTTTGGTAGCACTTGGTTGCACTTCCACAGCCTCTTTTGTGCATTTACTAATTTGCAGCTCTGGGCCTTTCTTTATAGGGCTGCCAACCTGTACTTCCTGTTTCTGGCGTTACTGAACTGGGTGCCAGTTGTTGAAGCCTTTCAGAAGGAAATTACCATGATTCCTCTGCTGGTGGTTCTCACTGTTATCGCCATCAAAGATGCCCTGGAAGACTACAGACGCTACCTGTTCGACAAGAAGGTCAACAACAATGTAGTGCAAGTGTTCTGTGGGTGAGTGAACCTCTAACGTTTCAGCATGGCTATGAGACACTTGGACTATAAACTGGTATGTAAGACCATTGAGTGTGATCGGGCGTTTGAAAAAATGGTAGCAAGACATGAGCTGAAATGCAAGTGAGCATTTCGATTATACTGGAAACAGAAGCTCAGTTGGGTTAGGGTTAGGGTTGGCAATAGAGGATGTTAGCATAACCTAATCTGGATTGCTGTTTCAAAGGTACATCAAATTTCTGAAAAACATTGCTGGATTGCCATAACAAGAGCTGACAGCTAACTTAGTTTTTGTTGCTATTTGATAGCTGCTCATAAATAATACGGGCAAGTATGATTGGCAGGTGTATTTCTGACCCTGTTGCCTGACCGATTACAAATAATGTTATATTTTGATTGTTTCTTAGGTGATTGAAACCTTTACTAAAGCTGCCAAGGCATTTGGAGCCATGAAACAATACCTACTGGTACCGTTGCTGTGTCACTTAGCATCTGACTAGTTTAGCATCGGAACTTACATGAGTTTACAGCTGCATGCTAAATTGAAATCTGAGTGTTAAACATGCTCATCTGAACCACAGCTAAACTTGATATATGATGGACTTTCCTTATTAGCTCTGTAATAGATGTAATGGATGAGCTAACGTACATCATATTATAGAAAATGTTGCTCCTACAACTCTGCTCCTTACTGCATTAGTGATAATCTTTCAGAAATTAATCAAATGAAGGGTTGTAGAAATCCGACCATATACTGAGGTCTATGTCCTGAAACCTCAGTAAAACCACGTATGCAGCAGGTCTAAGTTAAAGCTCAGATATGATGACCACTACTGGCATTTAGGAGATTGCTACAGTACACAGCAGTTCCAGACATCATTTTTCAATCTGCCAACCAAAACTAAGCTAATGACAAAGCAACATCCCCACTTTCCTAGCACGCAACAGCAACAATGTAGGGCTCTATACTGAGAATAGTCCTACCATTGTATGGGAGTAGAAGCTCAAAACCTGGACAAAAATAAAATCCAAACAATCTGCATGACTACATACCACTAGTTCCTAGAGCATACCCAAAACTTTTAGGGCCATAAGTCCCCGGTAGGATTTAGAAGGTTGAGTTTGCAGTACTGACCAGTCAAGCACGAGCCTCAAGACTGCAACAACTTGTCTCATGCATTCAAACTGCACACAAGCACTGCTTGTCGATATCAGTGCTTTAGATGGGAATTTCAGTTATGTAGTGACTTCATGACTAGTGCAAGAAAAAAGAAAATAAAAAAGAACAACGAGAAAAGGATGCATGACAGGCAGGGTGAGCAGGAGAAGGAACTGAAACTTAGCTTCATTATTTTGGCAGGCTTTTCTTTCTGGCATATTCAGCCTCTACACATTTCCTCTTCAAATGGACAGGACACTACCTTACAGATTACATTATTAATTCTTGTCTTGTGAGATGCTAAAAAACCTCTCTCGGTTATTCAGTGTGGTAAAGCACTGGCCATATATATTAGTGGACAGAATTTCCAGGTCTGAAAAGTGAAGCCAATGTGGAAGCCTACAGAGGGCGAACTCGACTGGCTGCAAAAGTAAGTCAGTGTATGTAAGTTTATAAGAAAAAGAGCTGACTTCTTTGTGATTTATGAGCTCAGTAAAGAGTTTCCTGATGAGTGTATGGTCTCAATCTCTAGTTTCAGTCTTCTTCCATACAGCATGATGTTCATTTAATAAATGATGGTCCCATTTAGAATAAAATAGAACATAAAGCAGGGTATGCTTTAGGGCTACCTTGTGGTTTTGTTTTTATCCAGGCCTGGTGGATTACTGCAAATACCAGTTGGAGCACTAGAATGAGAAAACATGACAAAAGGTTATTTTTATAAAAGTTACCTACTGCAGCTTTAAGTTGGTAGTAGAATGAACGAATTACAGTTTCATGCTTCCTTGGTTCTATCCTAAATCAGATGGCAGGGCACAGGTTGAGCAACAGACCCCAGGATGCTGCATCATTGCTTAGCTCAAGAGGAAATAAAATGTCACAATGTAGTGTTTAGCTACACTACACTGCTATTTGGAGGAATAAATAGCTTGTCATTGGAGCTATTTATATAATGGCTACGCTACTTGACCGCTGCTGGTGAATGTAGTTTAACTAGAAGCTTAACAGCAAAGGTAAACAACAATACAGATCTTTTGTAACTGCCAACCACAACAGGCCTCCTGACCGTTTTTTAATCTTGCTTCCCTATAAACAGGACATTGTTTCATTGGCGTCCAAACCTGTTAGAAATGACCGTTACAAAGAAAGATTCCTGCAAGCGTTTTCTGATCTGTCACCACTAATGTGTAGTTTTGGCACAAAGACTACTTTTAAGATTGTGGTTATGATTGTGGTCACAGTTAAAAGAACTGTTTGGTTACAGTCAGTAAAATAGAAACAAACAACTGTCTCTTGTGTCAAAGTCACACACCTTAAGACTACAGCAGCCCGACCTCCTCCCTGATAGGTTTGGAACATAGGTTGTTTTAGGCATTTGAAATAATGATTAATACACTTTTTTTCTGGTGAGAATAGTCTTGTGCCTTTACCCTGTCTCCTAAATGATATATTCATATGAATATATACTGCATGTTTTAGAAGGAATGCAATGCTGCCTGGATTGTTTGGTTTTTTTTGTTCTTTTTTAATCAACATAATAAATGTTTTAAATGAATGTATCTGTAAAACGTTCACTGTAAACCGATTTGTTTGAAATATTTGTGGCAACTAAATGATAAATATTTTATGGTTCCTTTTAGGCAAGTCACTTAGTTAAATGGTAAATTGACTTTGTTTATATAGCTTTACCTGTCACATTCACAAAATCACACACTGATGACAGAGACTGCCATCCAAAGTGCCAACTGCTCATCAGAAAGTATCTAATGGGGCGCCCAGTTAGCTCAGTCGGTAGAGCTGGCAACCCACATACGCAGCAGCCAGGTTCGAATCCGACCTGCAGCTCCTTGCTGCATGTCATCCCCCCTCTCTCTGCTACCCTTTCCTGTCTATCTCTCTCTTTGTCAAATAAAGGCATAAAAGGCCAAAAAAATAATACTTAAAAAAAAAAGAAAATATCTAATGCTCACACACCGATGGCACAACCTTTGGGAGCAATTCAGCATCTTGCCCAAAGACACTTCTACAATGCGGATTGGAGAGAGCTGGGGATTGAACTGCCAATCTTCCGATTAGAGGCTCACTCTACCTCTACCCTTACTCTCAGTTATTGTCAGGGAAAGATGGTGTTTGATAAGTTATGGATGAGTTTACTTTTCACAATATCTGACCAAAATCACCATCTATCCGTAACCAAAAAACTTTTTAGTAACCTAACCTTAACGACGCATGGAACATAAGAGCCAACCCTAGCGTCAAGTGTTAGTAAGTCCTATACTTTTTAGATATGTTTCGATACCATCTTTTCCTTCCCTTGCCCAACAGGCATATACTGCTAAGCCTGTATAATTGCTATCATTGTTATGCGGCCTGGATCAGGTTAAAACCCTTTGTCAGAATCAGAGTCTGAGTAAGGCAGGTCACGACTTTGCTATCCTAGGAAAAACAGTAGGTCTCATAAATTACATAGTATCTGATCGGTGCACAGATGTGTACTCGCCGACACCCAATACCACATTTTAGGCATTATTGCAGGAATTTCTATCATTATCAGAACAACTGTAATGCTTTTTCACCCACCTATCCACCCTGACCACCCCATCTATGACTGTGTGGTATAAGAATGAAATGCTTCCTGGACTGGAATAATGTTGCCAGTAATCCAGGCAGCCGTTATGTTTCCTCCAAAACACATTTAACAAAACTGTTTAGGAGTGGAAATACTTAGCTTTTAGGAGTCAGACCATGGATGGCATATTTCTATACCATCTACTTTGCCTCAGCATAACCATTGTTTTGGTGTGTTTATGTCAAATTTGTCAGTTGTAAGAGCCATAATTTCAGTACATTAGAATGAACAGTACATCATATTATCAGGAAGACTTTTTTAACAGTGGTTTATTAAACCATATCATTCCAGTTGACTAATGGATATATGAATCTGTCCACTACTCTGTTTTTTAAGGATTGTCTGGAAATCAATAATCATAATTCTTACTGCTGCTCGGTCACCCTCCTTTCTTCCTATACCTGAGTACACAATCAGTCTTTTGAGCCAGTTGTAAAAGTTGAACCTTGAGTTTGTTTACAGCGTGAGTGCCCTTTAGAGGAGTGGCAATGAATTCCATTGCCTAGGTTGTCAGTTATCCACTCAACCCTCCCATTCCAACTTCGTCTGCGGTGTCCATGCCTTTAGGGACAGAACGAAAGACTTAGAATGGTTAGAACTAAGGACAGCATGAGCACAGAAGTAAAATTACAACCGGAGAACAGTTGCAGGTAGGTAGAACTTCTATGTGGAGATAAAAACCGGCAGACGGATCTGAATCCACTGAAGCAGTGGACTCATGTATAGCTTGAAATGTCCGTCTCGTCTTCATTCAACCAAAGAGCACCTGCGGAAGAAAAGGACAGTGGCTCCTTCCTCCACAGAGAATGAAGAACTGAGTCAACTCCTGAAGTTGTATAAAAACAACAAGATCCGAACCACAAAGTATTCTCTCCTCTCCTTCCTTCCCAAGAATCTATTTGAACAGCTCCATCGCTTTGCCAATGTCTACTTCATCTTTCTTGCTGCTCTCAACTTTTTTACTGTGGTGGAGGCCTTCCAGCCAGAGATCGCTCTGGTTCCTATCATACTAGTGCTGACAGTGACGGCTGTCAAGGATATCTGGGAAGACTACCGCAGGTTCAAGTCGGATCATTTTATCAACAGGCTTGTCTGCCAAGTTTACAGCAGGTGTGTAAATGTTGCTCTCAGTCGGTTTGATGTGACAACAACCAATATCTAAGATGTCTTGTTCTTCTCCTTAAAGCCCCAAGAAGGAACTTATTTAATTTATTTTCGGCAGCCTTTTGTGTTTCCACCACCTTGTTTCGTCTGATTCATAGGAATCCAACCAATCTTCTTGCTGATGGTCTTGTTTGTTTATGTAGGTTATATAAATGCATAAGTATTAAAGTGAGACTGTTTCATAACCAGTTAAAAAACTCATTGTTGTATGTTTAAAGTAACCTGTAGTTGGCACAAGTGATATTAATAGAAACAAGAATAGATGACTGAAAATGAGAACAAAACTTTTGACAAAAAAAAAATCTGAAACTCAAGTTGTACTACATCAAAAACAAAAACTACAAGTTACAGCAATGATTTCTTTCATCATCTTTGCATAGTATACGTGGTCAAAGGTGGTCAAAGAAAATTCAGGTCTAGACTTTCAGTAAGGCTGCTCCTTGACAACAAAGTTTAACAACCAATCAATCAGTCAATAAACCTTTTACAGGAGCAGGGATTGTACGTCACTTCTTGCAACTGAATATGTACTTCTGCTTGACAAACCCTTTCCAACAACTTCTCAACTGGAGCACATAATGAAGGCGTTGTTGATAGAACACATGATAGCACATGATCAATTATTCAGCTAAGTGAAATAACAGTCTAAACAAGTAAAGGTACACTTTAAACTCCTTAAATCATCCCGCACATCCACACCACATAAAACATAATTGGAGCTGAAAAAACTAAATATAATTTAAAATGGTAACAAACCCTGCTCAGTTGTTAAGAGGTCACATATCAAATATTCAACACACTACTTATATAAAAAAGCTGGATTTTGATCTAGCACAACTTATTATTAGATCCTGCTTTTTCATTTTCATGAATTCATCTATCTATGGTAACTTTTTGAACATTATGTCAGTGATATATTTGGATTGCAGTTAAACAGGAGTAGTTTATCTTGGATAACCTCATGACCTCACATTGTACCTAACTGTACAGTAATGCCTTGGCTCTGTCCCGCTGTATTTCAGTCATTGCCTGGAAAGGGTGTTGGACTGTAAGTGTAATTATTAACCACTGATTGTATTCAGCCAACATGTAAATAATACCAGTCAATCAAAGGGAAGGTTTTTTTTTCTCTGAACTTTTAAGAACAATGCAGGCCCTCTGTCAGCAAATACCACATATACAGTACAATGTATTTTTTAAAGGCTGGCGTTGTTTCCATGGTAAGAAGCCTATTTAAAGGTTATACAATATAGCCTTAATATATACTGTTCAATAATAGTATTTATCATTCACTTATGTTCACCTCCGTTGTCTTTCTGTTTCTTTTCACCTGAGGGAATGAATTAGTCCTGAAGTTTGTTATTCATCGTTGACCCCCAAATTGTTGGTCATTGACAAGAAGATATCAAAACTTTGATCTGGGGACAAAATAATGTGGTTCTGTGTGATCAGCAGCTGATTGCAATCAGCTGGAGCCAAATCATCAATAAGCAGTGCAGCTGTAGGATGTGATGTTTCAAATTTGAGTAGCACCTGCTGGGTTTATGTGAGTGTGTGGATCAGCACAAAAAGCATTTAGAGGTCCTTTGGTTTAGTTTTTTACTGTACCAAATGCTTTCTGTGTTCCACCTTTGCATACCTGTGTACTATGTTATTGGTGGATGTTAAAACATAGATGTGTAATCAGGTTACAGCATCAGGGTCAGGATCATAAAACAGGAGTTATTGTCTGCAGTTTCTTAATAATAATAATAATAATAATAATAATAATAATAATAATAATAATGCATAATGCGATCCTGGATATCCTTGTGACAGAAACTGTGATACCACAGTTCTGCCAACATTTAGGCAACAGATTTCACCTCAACAAGGCCTTGTAAAAAGTTCTTTAGACTCTGAAAATCATCATTTTAAATTAGTTTTAAACCTCTCTGTGCCATTTGATATGACCAATGCATATCTTGGACTGTGTCAGACATGTAGTAGACATTTAACATCATCCAGTGGATTCATTCGTATCTGCAGTATAGATCAGTTTCATCTATGATTGAAAATTTGTCTTCTTTTCTTCCTGTGTTTAACCCCAAGGCTCCATCTTAGGCCCTATATTATTTCCATTGTATATACACTGATCAGCCATAAGATTGTGAGCACTGACGGTGAAGTGAATAACACTGATTATCTGGTTACCATGGCGGTGTATGCTTCCACTGGGCTCATTCCATAATTTTTCTCTGATACTTGCCTTTTGTGAAATATTGGATTTTTTTTTTTACCTGTTAGGGACTAATGCAATTAAATTAATGAAATCTAAATACTCAAGTAAATACAGTACTTAAGTAAATGTTTATTTCCACCACTGCCAGGGATCTCTCTGTGCCTTGATCGCTAGAAATGCCTCACAATGCACAATGCAGTGTAAAATACTCTGGATCTTTTTGTCATGTCATTGTATTATTTTACACTCTGACCTCCAGTTCACCAAAAATGTGTTTGTTTTTTTCACATTTAATTTGCCTGAGATGTTTTTTCAATCTTCTGTCTCTTCTGTGTTATCCCATAGCAAGCAGAAAGCCTACATTGACCAGTGCTGGAAGGATGTGCGAGTTGGAGACTTTGTCCGTCTGTCCTGCAATGAAATCATCCCTGCTGACATGCTGCTGCTGTATTCATCTGACCCTCGTGGGGTTTGTTACATTGAGACCGCCAACCTGGACGGAGAGACCAACCTGAAACAGAGACAGGTCGTTTTAGACCTCCCACTGCAGGTAATATATTCAGTGGATTTATAGGTCTAATATGCATCTGTCCCCCTCTATACACTAAGGTTCCTGCTCGCAAAGGACTCGCAGCAGATTAGAATGCTGCCTTTAATTTAGTAATTTTACAACAAAGAGCAATATTTTTAACCATCCTATTAATGGTAAAACAATTAAGATAAAAGGTAAGATCAAGTTGTTCAACAGCTAATGTAATTTATATGCTTTTTGTCAACCTGGCACCTACATTACCCACAATGCAACTTGACCACGAGAGTCAAGTCAGAAATTCGGGTGTGTTATGCCATAGATACGTAGTTACCACATTCTCGATTTGACGTGTATTATAAATGTATCACCGAAATATTGTTATAAATCGTTCTAACGAACCAGATCTCATGATAGTAGATTCAGAATGAATCAAGTTACAGTTGATCGGGTATAGAAGTGTGCATCTCTCAGTATTGTTAACCAGCGGATTTTGACCTCTGCAATATGGGGACTGCTCAGACGCATAGCGGCGGCATACAGCAGCAGGCAGTGAGGTATCTATGTTTCTGTATCTGTGTGATATACTAGTAGTGGCTAATGTAGCCTCAAGCTGCTGGCCTCAACCAGATATGTGGAGAGGGCTCCAGAGGTCTGGTACGTCTTTCTAAATCCACATCCCCAGATTTTTTCAGCCCCAACTGAAGCTGACGTGATCACTTGAGGCTCAGATTTCTCATAGCTCCCTCTGGAGACACCAAATGCTTTATACAACTTTTGCCATGTAGCAGTACTTCCCAACACCTGGAAACACACTTTGTGTGTAAAATCAAGTGGAGTTCTCCTTTAATGGCCGGATGTGATTGCTGGCCACCTTGTATTGTGTGGTCGAAAAACACCATATCATCTTCCTTGATAAAGATAGAAGTTGTCTGTTCAAAAGTGATGAGGAGCTTGGCCAGCAGACTCCAGCCTATTTGCTCCCACTCATGTTTGGATGTGTGTCTGTCTTCTGAATTAGTCCTCGAGGCTGGATTTTATGGTGGTGTTGTTTTAGACTGTATTATACACTTCATTTACATTAATGGACCAATAATATTCCTGATTTGAATAAAGGTCTATTTTAGACAGTGTGCCCTGGGCAGCTGTGTTATGTAGGAAAATGTCCTCCATATTAAAGGACTTGGATCAGGGCTGTCTCACTCCAGGTGTAGAAGCACAAATGAATAAAGCACTGACATGCGCAGCTTTATTAGCCGTAAAAGAAGCTAATTGGCTTCTAATTAAAAGCAGCTGCAGAATGCACGCTCAAAAGAAGAAAGAAATGAACACAATGCAACAACAAGAAGGCAGTTGGCTCTCTTTGCCAGATAAAACAGCTGTCTGCCTCTGGTTACACCCACAAAATGATAAACTTCAATATAAAGTGTGTGACCGTTACGTCTCATTCTGATAAACATGTTTTATTTGAACTTCCCTGCTCTGCCATAAAAGAACAGCTAGTAAAACATGGAAAGTGTGGAAAAAGACAGCACTCCAGGTGGGGTTGTATTATCTCATATCTGTTTGTCCGTATGTGTATTCATCTACAGGTTGGAATGAATTTGGTGTTTGTGTGTGTGTGTGTTTTCCAGGGAGCAGAGTTGAACCTTGAGAGCTTCCACAGTCGTATTGAGTGTGAGAACCCCAACAATGACCTCAGCAGGTTCAGAGGTTACATGTGAGTTCCCTTTTTGTCTTACAGTGATCAAACACATTGTCTATGTACACTTAAGAACACAGTGTAAAGAGGTAAATATATGGGATCGGTGTGTATTAGCACTGTAAAACTGTGCCTTATTCTGTGCTGCTGTGTGGCTACCACATTAGGACAACATCTTGACATGTTTCCAGTGGAAATGCTGCAGTAGCCTCCTGTTGGATCCTGTTGTACAGCTGAGCCTGAGCTCCGGCCTGTTGTGTGTCTGCATGTCCCACAGGGAGCACCCCAACGGGGTTCGTGTCGGCCTCCATAACAACAACCTCCTGCTGAGGAGCTGCACCATCCGCAACACTGAGACTGTAGTGGGCATCGTGGTCTACGCTGGTAAGAGCACAACATCACTTCCAAAAGATCAGACAAATGGCAGTGCCTCTGGCCTGCTCACTGGTTCTACTCATATGAACTCGTGGTTCATGTGGGCTGATGTGAGAGCTGCCAATCCAACTCTCCCGTGGACTAAACGGACTGCCTGAAAAGGTGGGTCATGGTCTGGTTTGTGGTGTGAAAACAAATCCAGTTGCAGACTGCAACCAACTGAATACTGCTTGCTTTCCAAGCACGGAGGAGAAACTACGGTGGCCTCAAAATGCTCAAAAAATTCCCATATCTAGAGCCAGTAAGAGAGGGCTTCTCTGTAGCTTTTGAACAAGCAGCATGAGCTACTAGCAGGAGGTGGAATTATGTAACCTTTAACTTTAACCTAAAGAATGTGGTCACATTGTGCAAATGTCTTACACGTGGCAGAGATGTGATGGCAGTGTGCGAGACCCCACCTCCTGATCCGATCTCATTCTGACTGCAACGTGTTCTGAATGAACATGTGTTATAATCCAGAAAAGATGTCCAGATACAGTTCAACAGTTGGTGATGAGTTTGAGTGAGATTGAATCTTCTGATCTCCATCAGTATGCTTTATCATGTCATGGTGCTTTCTCTAAAATACCTGAAATACCCGAAATACCCCACATGTGACCTCCAGCTCCAAACCCCAAAAATCTTGTATTGCAAGTTCCTATGCTACTGTCCACCACTTCTCTCTCTCTCTTATTAACATACATGTATAACTCTAATGGCTTCCAGCCAAGGTTACTGTGAGGGAGAACAGGAAAACGATTATTTTATTATGTTGTACACGGTGACAAAAAAAAAAATCTAGCTCCATTGTGTCTGTTCTGAGTAGAGAGAAAGAAGTGGAACCAGTCAGGTGAGTGGGAGCAGGCTTCCACCCCTACCACCAGCACAGAACAGTATGCAGGTATTGTTACAATACTCATTCTGTCCACAGAAGAGGGACGCCCACCATGAGTGTAGTACACAGTCTGAACATGACACCCATCCTTCAGTCATCATTCTCTGGCTGCTGGGGAAGACCAGGCTGCGAACTACAGGGGAGCGCGGGGGGATCTTGGCTCTTCTTAATATGAAATGAGCTCCCCTTAAAACATGGTTTGGGACATATTGGGAAGGGGGTCTCTAAAATATGGACTTATGTCATTTTTTCCATGCATTTCTATTTATGGCCCATGTGTAAAATTAGGATATTATTGATGTATAATTCATGCATGAGGGTGATTACTCACTAATTAAATAAAGATACAGGCATGCATGCTATTCTTGCCAACACCTTTTGATGGCAATTTCATAAACATCACTCACTTTAACTCAAAGATCTTCCTTTGTCCCACTCACTCTGTATACCGTCACCATTACTAATTTCTCTGTTTTGTCCATCCTACACGTTAGGAGTGAAAGAATCCTTTTTTTTTTGCTAAACAATAAAACAGAATTTGAGATCATTGTAAAGTGGAGCTGTAAAGCATGCTATGTCGAACTATAAAAGTGATGAAACTATGAACTAGAGTGAAGCTTTATGATATAAACTCCTGCGTTTTGCTAATGTACCTCCTGCAGTGTAATGCTCTGTGTAACTGAGCGTGGCTGTGGTCTGTTCTCCTCTCCCTGACTCAGGTCACGAGACTAAAGCCATGATGAACAACAGCGGGCCGAGGTACAAGCGCAGCCACCTGGAGAGGCGTCTGAACACAGACGTCCTGTGGTGCGTGCTGCTGCTCATCATCATGTGTCTGACTGGTGCTATAGGTGTGTACCCGCACAGCTGTGGTCTCACAGCGCAGAACAGCAGCAGGATTATCGCAGTGTACAGCTGACTGTGTAATATTAGATGTAGAGCTCTGGTGAGCTACCCATGGTAACCTAGTGTGTGCAATGTGATGATGCTCTGGTGTCTTTCAGGTCACGGCCTCTGGCTGAAAAACCTCAAAGACCCAGTCTTTGAGGTTGACGGGGAGACGTCTCCTGCCCTGGCTGGATTCTACGTCTTCTGGACCATGATCATTGTGCTGCAGGTAAAGTGTTAACCAGAGATGTGGACTGACTCAACTCGAGTCAACGTTTTTGGTGACTTGGTCGGTTTACAGTTTTACAACTACAGCATTTGTCATGTCAATAAACACATCACGCAGAAGATGTAATCAGTTTCTATCCAACAGGTGCTGATCCCCATTTCTCTGTACGTGTCCATTGAGATTGTGAAACTGGGCCAGATCTACTTCATCCACAACGACTTGGCCCTGTACAACGAGCAGCTGGACTCCAGGATCCAGTGCCGGGCCCTCAACATCACCGAGGACCTGGGTCGGATCCAGTACCTGTTCTCTGATAAGACGGGAACTCTGACGGAGAACAAGATGGTGTTCCGCCGCTGCAGTATCTACGGGGTTGAATATCCTCATGAGGACAATGGTAAGAGCTGATAATGTGACTGCTAGACTGATTTCATTTACCTCCATCAGAGATAGAATAATCGCAGAATTAGAGTGGAGGTCCAGCAAGAACAATGAGATGTTACAGGATAGAGATGTTGTCATCCCTATCCTGCACAAAATATGAGCATCATGTCTGTGTTTTCAGAGTTGGTATGAATTATGACACAAATTGTTGCAATCGGGTGCTATAGGTGCTGAGGGAGCCATTCTCATTGATCAGTGAGTCTTACTACTATACCTAACTTCTTGTTGTTTTTAGAACACCTTACATTTATGCCTCACGTCTCTCACTCCGTTGTGGGAGGCAGCTCACACTTTGAAAAGCTCTCAATAATTTACATAATAACATAATAGTTTGGAACCCAGAAAAATCAGTATTTGGATCAAGAAGAGAAAAATGGGGTGTAATTTTAGCATTGCAGATAAGCTTCATACTTAATCAGCCTCTATGTAAGTACAGTGTGTCTGTATTGGCAGACACCCAATATTAAAAGAGTTGGATTGGGATCAGGGCCAAAAAACTATTTGGGACATTAGGTCAGAACCTTTTGTATAGTCTTATTCACCGCCCTCCAGTCTTTTTGAAGTCATATGACATCGAAGGATTATTCCGGTTCATTACAATTAGAATTTTATTTTTCTAGTTCTAGTTCTAGTCTTTAATCTTTTTTTTTTTTTTTTTTTTTTAAGATCAAGATTAAAAAACAATCAGGATTATGGAACATTTGAACATTTTAAAACATTAAATACATGAAGACAAAACAGGCTTGAGAAGAACAAGCAAAAAATTATTCTGAAAGTTCTGTCCGGTAAGTGATCTGTCCTGTACTGCTGTGTGTGTGTGTGTGTGTGTGTGTGTCTGTGTGTGTGTGTGTGTGTGTGTGTGTGTGTGTGTGTGTGTGTGTGTGTGTGTGTGTGTGTGTGTGTGTGTGTGTGTGTGTGTGTGTGTGTGTGTCAGCTCGGAGGCTGGAGGTGTACGAGGCGGAGAGGAACGATGCGGCCGGTCAATCTGTGACTCTGAAGTCGGGCTGCAGCCGTAAATCTCTCAGCTGTCGCTCCCTCAGCTGCAACCGCAGCTCCGTATCTCTGCACACGCTCACCGCCGAGTCGGAGGAGGAGGAGGAGGACCAGCCGTCCAATCACATCCAGCCCAGGACCAGTGCCTTCTGCAGCCGCGTGGTCAGAATCTCTCTCACACACACACACACACACACACACACACACACACCGTAGACACATTAGAAGTGTACCAGCCTATTCATTTGTTCTGCAAGCTGATAAACACTGATTACCTAGAATGTTTTTAGGAAGTTCTAGGAATGCATCATTTATCTCTGCTCATCTTGAATATTATATATAATAACAGTTGAAAGTCACATAATATAAGATAAAGATTTTTCTTGTTTTTTTCATTATGTGAAGCATATTCTTTTTTTGACGGTCTTTTTATTGGTATTTAAAGTCACACAAAATGTAACAAATCACAGATACAGTTGGTTGTGTTTTTTCCAACAGAGCCCCGTCCCATTAGTAGTATATAGTGTTACTGTACTGGAATCAAACAGAATCCAGTTCATGAAGAATTACATGTACATACAACTGAGGAGTCCCTAAGGGGACATGGGCGCAAAAAAAAAAAATATTAGAGAAACCTAAATTATTATTTTTTTCCCCCTTGTATAAATAAATTCAATATGACAAAAACATGTAGATAAGAAAATAGTAGTAGCAATAGTGAAAGCTTTAATTCAGATTTAAATGTTTCACCAAGGTTAACAGTTAAAGGGGCATTCCATCAAATTTACAATAAATTGACGGTATATTGATAGTTAGTACTCCAGCAAAATCAATTATTATTGATGTCATCAGGGTGATCTTAGCTTGCGTTAGAGACAGGGAGCATCTAATGAAAATATGCTATTGGTAGAATTGTGGGTAATCAAGGATCCAAAGTGTTTTCCAAAGTCAGAATATGTTGGCCTTTGCTGCAGGGATATTGGCATGTAGGCATGATGGATAAGCTCCTGCTTCTCCCGTGTGTGTGTGTGTCTGTCTGCTCAGGCGAGGGAGGTGGTACCAGACCCCGAGCTGGTGAGGAAGTTGAGCTGGCTCTGCTCTCCGACGCTGCCTCTGAGCGACGGCTCCTCCGGGACTCCGTCCAGCCTGGAGGTCACCTACATCACCGACTTCTTCCTCGCTCTGGCCATCTGTAACAGCGTGGTGGTCTCCTCGCCCAGCCAGCCTCGACACATGGTGAGTAGATGAGATCTACAAAGACTCCAAGGATCTCCAAGACTGTATTTTGACAGGTCGAGGTTATATTTGTCGTTGTACAGCTTGTTCATTTGTTTGCATTGATTGAATAGATTTATTTATTTTAACCTTATTCTGTATTTTCTGGTCTGTCTGGTGGAAAGCCTGTAACAGTTACAAGATATGAAGGCATTAATTAAAGGAGGAGGTGCTGCAACGTCAAGGTGTAGTCGAAAATCTGTGTTAATTTGTAAAACCTCAGCCCAAAAACGTTTTACCGTATTCTGTCTGTCTGCCATTTCCCATATAATACAGCTCCACACTTGACGTAAAGTTAATAAAGCCAGATAAAATGACTTTGATATCTGAATAGCTGTGTATTTAGAAAATATAGCTTCAGTTACAGCTTTCCTTCAGTTATTTCCTGTATTATTTGATATAATGTCACCAGAGTGGATCAGTTGAGATGAAGTAATAACAGTAGCAACACAAATGCTTTTGAAATTTCAGAAATTCTCCTAAAGTTTATATATACAAAATTCACTTGTTTATTTGTTGTTTTCTTTACTGTTATTGCATGCATTGAATATAATATGAATCAGTTTACTCAATGTTAGATCAGGAAAAAGGTTGAGAACCACTGCACTAGAGCACCAGCATCTTAGACCAGAACAATGGGCGTTACGGCCGACAAGACTCCATTAACAAAACCAGTAATAATCATAAAAACACACTACACACTTTGTCTTCCCACAGTTACCAACACTGGTTTGGTTGAAATGATAATTCACCAAGAGGAAATAGCCACAAAACGTTACCTAATCACTGGGGACAAATGCACCTGTCAAAGTACGGCCACTAAAAGTGTTTTTGCTATTAACAGATTCAGATTGTTCAATTCCAAGTGTCCAACAACATTAAGGAAAGGATCCCTACAGAGACAGTCCTTTTGTTTAACCAGAAACTGCCATGGGCCTGACTAGAACTCGCTATTGTTAGCTACCAGACTCACAAAAACAGTATTTCTTAGTTTAATTCACAGACGTAGACGATAAAAACAGCAGTTTCAGTGGCTCTACTCAGGTGCACACAGAGCAGACTGGCTATGGACCACAGAGAGGCTGCGATAGCAACACAGGCAGAGGGAGTGTGACACCTTTACTCCACTGTATCTTTACATAGAAAATAGCTGTTTGCTGCTTTATTAATGTTTTAAATCTGATGTGTGAACCTTTTAAAACTAGCATTTTAATAAAAAACTACTCCTGACTGAGCAGTTCAGTTCAGGAGTACAGAAACTGACTCCATGTTCTCTTCTCTTTTTCTTCCCTGCAGGTGCCTGAAGCACGAACACCCCTCAAGTCCCTGGAGGAAATCAAGCTGATGTTCCAGCGCTTCAGTTTCTCTCCTTTCTCAGCGCTCTCCCCTCCACTGATCAAAGGCAGCCCTCGCAGCTTCACCAGCAGGCTGTTTGCCCGGGGGAAGACCGGCTCCTGCAACTTCTCCACTCCCACCAACAGCACCACAGATGGATCAGAAGCAAGCCAAGAAAGCAACCTGGAAACCTCCAACCTGAGGTGCAAACTGGACTCTGGATCCTCCAGAGTGGAAGGAAGAGATGTTGGACAGGCGGAGGACAGGGAATCAGAGGATAATAATATCAAGGACACAAAGACAAATGGGGCCAGGCAGGAAGAGGAGGACGTGATAAGAGGAGTGGACTCTGAGAGTGACTCTGATGATGAGCTGCTTTATGAGGCAGAGAGTCCGGACGAGGCGGCTCTGGTCCACGCAGCCCAGGCGTACCACTGCACCCTGAGGGGACGGTCCGCAGAGAGCCTGCTGGTAGACCTGCCGGGAATTGGCTCTCTGGCCGTCCAGCTGCTTCACATCCTGCCCTTCGACTCCAACAGGAAGAGGATGTCAGTAGTGGTCCGCCACCCGCTCTCAGGACAGGTGGTGGTTTACACCAAGGGAGCCGACTCCGTCATCATGGACCTAAGCGAGACACCTAAAGGTAATCAACAGAAGGAATCTGGACATACAGCCCTGACTGAAGACCTTTGTCTCCTGACTGATCTAAAGACAAATAATGGTAATAATAACTGTGTATCACTGTCATTCTGTTCTGTTCAGGTGCAGAGCAGGCTCAGGAGATCTACAGTCACATCAGAGAACAAACCCAAAAACATTTAGACAGTTACGCCAGAGATGGACTCCGGACTCTCTGCATTTCTAAAAAGGTAACACTGAAACAGAATAACTTTGTATATTTTATCCCAAATACACATTTTCATCACACGATTTTCTATGATGAAGTCCTGTGGCTCTAACTGAAAGGACAGCTCATTAAAGCAACTTCACTCAGCCCTCTCCACCCCCAAGAGCTGGAATTACAGATAGGTTGGGGGTTGGGGGTTGAGCTAAAGGAAACCATCTTGGTTTGTCTTTCCACTGTACCATCAATCACCAGTAATTCACAGAGTTAGATGTGAAAATATTCCGTCTCCGTACAGCGTCTCTCCCCGATGCCTCTCTGATGCTCGCTCCTTTCCTTTCTAAATATTCACATCTAACTGGGAAAATTAAAGCTGCAGTAGATCCTTTTTTATAAAAATAACCTTTTGTCATTATTTCTGAAACTTTCACTATATCCTGACAGTAGTACATGAGACAGATAATCTGTGAAAAAATCAGGTTCCTCTGGCTCCGCCTAGTGCTCCTAATGGCATTTGCAAGAATCCACTGCACCTGAACAAAAACAACCAATCAGAGCAAAGAAAGATAGTTGATTAAGTTTCACACACACTCTGTTCTGTTCACTGCTTTTAGAATCACGTCCACTCTTCCTAAAGATGGACTGGTGTTTGCTCAGGAGCAAATCCACCCCTGTATGTAAGAAGGTGTGTGTGTGTGTGTGTTTTACTGAGTGGCTGTGTGTTCTGTGTGTCTGGAGCAGATTCTGGAGGAAGAGGAGTATGAGGTGTGGCTGAAGAGACAACTGCTGGCAGAGAGCAGCATAGAGAACAGAGAGGAGCTGCTGCTAGAGTCTGCTCAGAGACTGGAGACCAACCTCACCCTGCTGGGTAGGAGAACCATCGCTGCAGCTCACACATGGAACCCTCTTATATGAGCTGGGGGTGCTTACAGTGTCTCTGTGTCTTTGTGGGTTCAGGTACCACAGGGATTGTAGACAGACTGCAGGAGGAAGTCCCGGAGACCATTGAAGCTCTCCAGAGGGCCGGGATCAAAGTCTGGGTCCTCACAGGAGACAAAAAGGAGACGGCCATTAACATCGCCTATGCCTGCAAACTCCTCCGTCCCAACGACCAGCTGCTGACAGCCAGCTGTGGAAGCAAGGTGAGCAGCTGATGAATGGTAACACTGCTGTTGGGCTTATTGGTCACATTTCTAAACAATAAAGGCACAGGGCCTCTACTGATAATTATAAATACATCAGATTTTTACCGATGCAAAGATACAATATCACAAAACAAAACACCAGGACCCCTAAAATGCAACGCAGTAAATGTACTGTAACTCTACGCAGCAGCACTAATGGATTTCTTTTCCATCAGGATGCGTGTGCAGCTCTGCTCGAGCAGCTCAAACTGGAAGTGCAGAGTGGCGAAGGCAGCTTGACGGTACTGACTGCAGCGGGGGACCATGAGGAATCCTCCTTGGGCAGCGCGGCCGGCTTCGTTCTGGTCATAGACGGCCGCACTCTGGACTGGGCCCTGCAGGAGGAGCTGAAGAGTGACTTCCTGGAGCTGAGCTGCAGATGCAACGCAGTCATCTGCTGCAGGTCCACCCCGCTGCAAAAGAGCCAGGTGGTCAGGCTGGTCCGGGACCAGCTTGGCGTCATGACCCTGGCTGTGGGTAAGGGACCCAAAGCCTGTAGGAAAACTGCCAGGAAGTTTTCCATGTGTGACATGTTAATGAATAATTTGAAAGAATTCCAAGAGAATGTGTATATTTCTGCCATGGCATTTCTTTTCAATTTCAAATCAAAATCAAGTGAATTAAATCTGGCAGGCAAAACACTCAACTTCTGAAACTGGTAGTGCATGAAGCCGTTTACAGGACGGACCAAAACAGTGTTTTAGTAACAACATTACAGAGCCATACCCGGTGGAATCAAGGCCCAAGCACAGGGGCAGCAGTTACTGTTAAACCTTTTACGGTAGTGTATGTGATTTGCTTTGTACATACCTAAACATGGAGGACAATTAAAGCTGTTTTTGTTCATTAAGGTGATGGAGCAAATGACGTCAGCATGATTCAGGTGGCGGATGTGGGCATCGGGATATCTGGTCAGGAGGGCATGCAGGTGAGTGACCACCACGTAATCCCGGGTTCGGCCGCTGCCATCGTGCACTGGTGATATCATTGGGAGAAACATGAACACATGAACATACAACAACATCATGTCGTCCTTATTTCTTTCTTTCTATGAGCTGGCACAGTTGAGACAAGGACTGTTTATAGGCTGCAAGTTGTGCACTGAAATATACCTTGCTGATGTAAAACACTGCCAGACTAAGATGCAACTGGAAGCTGTAAAGAAGAAGAAGTTTGTGGTCATATTAGCATCTATGAGTTCTTATAGTAGCTGATTTCATTATGGTTTCACTTGCCAGTATGAACTAACAGGGCCTAACTAACACAGATTCTTTATTAATTTTAATGTATTTCTTCATATCTGCAGTGTCAGTGCAACACAGTTAAGTAGCATGTTTTTGCTGTGGTTTTCTGTCCTAATGTGTTAATCTTTTTGTGGCTTTATCGTTCCCCAGGCCGTGATGTCCAGTGACTTTGCCATCTCCAGGTTTAAACACCTCAGTAAGCTGCTGCTGGTCCACGGCCACTGGTGTTACTCTCGCCTCGCAAATATGATCCTCTACTTCATCTACAAGAATGTGGTGAGTAGAGCTGCAACACATTTAAGGACGCCAGCTTTGGCTTTGGGGAACACTAATCAATCAATCAAACAACCGCTCACCGCTGCCTGTGTGTCTGTCTGTGTCCGCAGATGTACGTGAATCTGCTGTTCTGGTATCAGTTCTTCTGTGGTTTCTCTGGGAGTGTCATGAGCAACTCCTGGGTGCTCATCCTCTTCAACTTGCTCTTCACCTCCGTCCCTCCTCTCATTTTCGGCGTCCTGGATCGAGACACGCCTGCAGACACTCTGATGGAGCTGCCTGAGCTCTACCGGGTTGCACAGACCTCCAAGGTGACAGCACACACACACACACATACACACACAAACAGAAACCTACAACCGTAGACTGTGTATAAAGATGGACATCGTGTCTCCTCTTCTTCCCTCTGGGAAGAGTGAGTCACTCCTGTTGATGTGGCTGTGTTTAGAAGGACTAACGTATGAATCCTATTTGTCTGCAGGTCTACGTCCCCTACATGTTCTGGGTCACCGTCCTGGATGCTTTTTACCAAAGCCTGGTCTGCTTCTTTGTGCCTTACTTTGTAAGTGTCAGATCATCCTGCTCTGTCAAATAGGTCCTTTGTTGCTGTTTTTATTCCATTGCTTCACTTTACGTGTGGTGGTGTCGGAGTTTATATGTGCTCTACTGCTGTTGTGTACTGTTTTTCAACCAACACTGGTATGAAACCCCTATGAGGAACTTTCTTTTTGTGCTGATTGGTCGGCCCCTGTTTCTACTGCCTTGTTTCATTGATTTCAGTGGGAATACAACCTGGTGGCAGGCAGCAGAAACTTTCTTAACCAGTCAAAAACTCCCTGTAGTATGTTTAATATCCCTCTAACATTACAACTGATCCATGGGGTCTTAAATATGTCTTAAATATGCTTTTGACAGGTCTTAAAAAAGTTCAATTAAAGTTGCATTTTGTCTCTCTTTTAAATTTGTTTTTGGGAAATATTTGCGTTTATCACGCTGTAACAACTACAGAATGAAATCAACATGGAACCAATACCCAATTTTCTTCATATCCTTACTCCTTATCAGTATGGATGTAAAATAGGTCTTAAATTACATTCATAGTGGTCTTAACAAGTCTTAAATGTAACCTGTTTAAACCTGCAGAAACCCTGTTATCAGATAGCATCACATTTAATATGACAGAGTGACTCACACAGCCCTGCTCCCATCTCACTGTTATAACTGCTGTGATGTTTGTCTCAGGCGCTGGCAGGATCAGATGTCGGGGCGCTGTCCTTCGGCTCTCCGATCAACGCCTCGGCTCTCCTCATCATCCTGCTGCACCAAGTTATCGAGAGCCGTACTCTGGTCAGACACTGAAAGCTGTTAAAAATCACTTCCTTTCTAACTGGATTTGCCTCCATTGTTTTGCCATGGGAGTAATTAATTCACATGTGACCTGGATGTTATGTATCTAAGGATACCAAAAGACCGTGCAGAGTCTCTAACCCTCTGTGTTATTTTGCAGACGTGGATTCACATGCTGGTGCTGGTCCTCAGCGGTGGGTCCTACTTCGGCTTTGTGCTGCTCTTCAGTTTGTTCTGTGTATCCTGCAGCCCCCCCACCAACCCTTTGGGGGTGGAGACGCTGCAGATGTCCCAGCCTCTCTTCTACATCGTGTGCGCTCTCACTACTGTGATGGCTCTGTTACCCAGGTACACACACCCCCGCCCTCATGTACACTGTGGTAAATTTACACACAAAACCTATACAACCAGTGGTGCAGGGGTGCCTGGAGAAGTGGGTAGACTCTTAATTTATGGCCTAACTTTTTTTAAAGAGGCCCGTCGAGTGAAAAAGTGTTTGCACATTGTCACAGCAGTAATGATCATTATGAAATCAACATTAGCCACAGAAGAGGTGCAGATTTTACAATCAGTGCTAGCCCACAGACGGGTGATACAGCTGCATACTTAATGCATTTTCAGTGAAGTATTCTGTATTCCTGACTTCATCCACGCATGGAAACTGTACAACTATGTCATGCCTTCGCCATCCTAGGAAGAAAAGAAAAAAACAACCAATGTTGACTGAAAAATAATCCATATACCTGCATATACCCTGCATTACACCACTGTATAGAACCACGTGCTTATATATAAACACACTCAAGTCTTTGTCTGTGAAATGAAGCTGCAGCATATTTGTATTTCTGGGTAGTGTATGTTAGCAAATCATCTCAGCCTTGATCCGAGATGGGAGAATAATGTTCCTCTAGGCAGCAAAGTAAGTTTCTCACACCTCATCAGTGTTATTGATCATCAGGTGTACTGAGAGGAAGAGTAGCACTTATGGCTCATAAGAACGCATAATAATAATAATAATAAGCACACATGTCAATGTGTATCCTTTGCAGCATTCAGTGTCCCAAAGTCCAATGTGTGCTGTTCACTCTGCGTACGAGTGCTCCTCATTAACTGGCAAAGTCACACAGTCAGAGCCAGCTGGTAGCACAGGAAACACAGGCAGATGCTAGGAGCAGTAGGGTACTGTAGAGACATACAACAGCCAGGGAAATAATTACACACAAACAAATAAACAAATGTGAAAAGTAAAGGAAGAAACAAATAGTGATATATTTAGATTGAATATGCAGAAGTACCCCTCATATTGTCAGATCAGCACCTATCTCAAACACAAAGGCTTTAGATTGGCACTCTTAGACCTCACCAAAATCACAGAGAAGCTCTTTATGTTGAGTTTTGCCTAATCCACATATTGACATTTTAATGTAGGCCCAACCTTGCCATTGACACGCTTTGTTGTAAAATGTATTAAAGTTCTTTGTTCTCAGTCAGTTTAATACCTGCAGTCGCTGTTCAGCAGCAGGTATGCTTGTTCATCCGCAGTCTTTCATTTTACTGTGATTTCATGTAAAATCAGCTGATTTGATTGGCTTGGCCTGTTTACCAGTTAGTGCTTGTCAAGTTATTTCCTTCCTTCTCTCACTCTCACTGCCCTGTGTGCTGTCCTCCGCAGGCTTTTGTGTCGAGCTCTGTACAACACGTTGCACCCCGCTGCTGTTCTGAAATCAGCTCATATGGACAAAGTGGATTCAGAGAAGTACCGCAGGAGAATGCAGCGCTGGAACCAGACTCACTCCAGAGTCAACAGGCTGCCGGTGTGCGCCGACAACCCTGGCCTGGAGCCCAGCGCGTCCTCAGTGGTGTCCTGACCCCCCTCTACGCACACACAGGTGTATGACCTGTTCAGGGAAAGACCCTAAAAGTCTGTCGACATGCTGGATTCAACCGCATGTCGCTGTGTGGATGTTCCACTCACCAGCTGTTTATAGGCTCTGCTGAAAGACAGCTCATTTGGCTACAAGTCAGTAGCCAAAGGACTCTTGGTGAGATTAATTTGCTCCAAAGAAAACCATGTTTTAATTGGACATGTACTTACTGAATGAATAGTGCGGTGAGTATGAGTTGAAACATTCCACCAAGCATTTATGGGAACAGAAGCTGTGAAACATGATCTTGTAGATATTTGGAGACAATACTATTTTTAAAGGAGCTATACAGTGTGTATCATTTGAACATCAGGAAATCATCAATCATCTGGCACTCGTCAGGATCAGCCTTCTAGTACTGGCCTTCAGTGTGTGCCGCAGTCGGCACGGTGAGCCACCAGGATCCGCTGGTCGAGGCTACATTCACACTGCAGCTAGAAGTGACCAAATCAGAAATTATTTCTAATATTCCTTCTTAATATTTTTGATCAGCTCTGCGCTGTGTGCACATAGAGGTGTTCATTGGGAGGACAGTGAAGTGGCAGACCTCACTAATAGCCAAAATTCAAATCTTGGCCCACTTTTGCCTCCTCACTCTTTTCAGACTTTATGTTCTGTTCATGCATGGAATTAGTCAAACTTCACTGGTTTACTCTGAGATGTATATGTGTGTCACAGCTGTATTGTGTTATTTTATGGGTCATGAACAACTAAGACAAAAAAACTGAGAATTGAACATTAAAGCTGTAACAAGAGATTTTTGACCACAAGGGGGCAGACATACTTGAAACAAACTGACAGAAGCACAGCAAAGATATCCTTCTGGTTGACATGTTAACAAACTATTTCTTTGCACAGCAAGGAAGAACGTTAGCATACCTTCAGGGTTGTGCTCCTGTCTACCTGAGTCTATTCACTCCACAAAATCTGTCTTTTTAGCTGCTACTGTAGCTATATGACTTTGTTTGCAAGCCACTTTGTTGTCAAACATACAGTCTACGTGCTGGAGAACCAAAAACAGAGACAAAAATATGTTCAAATCTGAGCTTGAAGGTTCATTCTTGTTCTTTGAAGCAGCTTGACAAAAAAATGAATCAGAGCAACGTCCACTCAGAGGACTTGTTGTGTCCAAAGGTTTCAACCACAGCTTTTGGCCTTCCTCAGTGGATGGAGTTGCTCAGTTGTCGTGGAGATGATTGACCCTTGAAACAGCGGTTACTATCTACTATGCACTGTTAATATTAGAGACTCATCAATCCACTTTTTTTCAGTTCCGATCCGATTCTGATTCCTGCATTTGGAGATCTGCTGATGTGGACAGGGACACCACAGCTCTTGATGTATTATCAGCTGATATAAGTAGATTTTGTGAGTTCAAAAAGTAATAAGAGAATTTCAGTGGAATTGCAAATTGACAACTCCTTCATAAGGTTTATAAAGTGATTTTCAAAATAAACATGGAAGAATTGTGTAGAGAAATATATATCTACACTAATAAAAAAACCCTATCAAAAGAGATTATGGAATCTGGATCGGTGACATCAGTCCGATATGTGAGTTACAGTGTCGTCCACTGATACCTATACTAGATCAGATCGGTCCCAACTCTAGATAATGTGTTGTTTAAGTCAGTTGACAGAATGCTGCAGTGTGGATGTAGCCACAAAGCAGGAGGAGGGTGCTGAAGGCCTTCAGCCACTGTATGAAGGAGGCGGGATCAGGAAGCAACAATCAGATTATTATTTCAATACAGCCATAGCAGTACCAGTACCACTGTTGTGTGTGTGATCCAGATGTCTGGATCATGGTCTCATTAGTTCCTGTTAACTACACTAAGCTGACACTGCTTAATGTTGAGGACACACACAGGAATGCTTACAACTGTTGGAATGTGTTTACAGTCCTGGGTTAGACAGGTGGAATTTCACAGAGTTGTAACAATGAGCCGCAGCCTGTTTTTGTTTACCTGCTCAGCTGCTCTGTGTGCAGTGCTGACACCGGAGCAGACCAGGTCAGTTGGTTTAAATGAAGGATTAATAATTGCTGAGTCAATTTTGGACTGGATATCATGTCGCTGTAATCAACAAAGGCTGCAGTTTACACCTATACATTAAGGATGTGACAGTACTACACCATGGATGGAAGACGCTGAGGCTGAGCTGGTTCTCAGGTTTTCCTAGGCTGAGCTGCACTAACAAGGGTTAACGGGGATCAGACTGAATCTGGATTTAAATGTGATGTTGTCCCCAGTAGTCCCTGATTGAACCAAATACAATTGAAATTTGGTTTATTCTCATCTATATTAGATTAGATTATACAATTTGACAAGGTTGCAACATATGCACCAAATATCCTGTGATTCATTCTGTTTACACTTTACACCTCCATAACTACAAGCTGTGTTTACTTGACATTTTTGCAGACTATTTTCAAATGCATATTGGGGGTATTGTTGCTGTCATTCTATGGCGTCGTTGGGTTCCACTCCTTTCTAACGATGTAAGTCAATTAGCAGATTCTTTAAAAGGGCTTGGGTCGTGCAGTGAGGATAAATTCTGCATTAGTTAGAGACTGCTTTGACTACCTCATGTGCAAAATATTGAATAAAAATGAGCGGTAACTTAAGGATATCTGGAATGATAGAAAAAATATATCCACATCTCTGCAACTCTACGACATGGTTTCAAAATGGTGTAAAGTATATGCAGACTAACACATGCAGAAGCGCTGGTATGGCCCTCTAGTGTCAATGTGGTGTTTAATGAGTTAGCATCACAGCGCCTGGCATGGTAGCTTCACCTGTGTGTGTGTGTGTGTGTGTGTGTGTGTGTGTGTGTGTGTGTGTGTGTGTGTGTGTGTGTGTGTGTGTGTGTGTGTGTGTGTGTGTGCAGTGAGGGAACCAGCAATAATCATGACGCATTTATGGTGAAACCGTTCCAAACTAACTTACTCAGTGTTTCCTCTAGGATTTTTTTAGCAGTGGGGGCAGGCCCTTCCGAACCCCTCCCGTCACGCTGGCAAACGTTTTACGTATGAAACAGAAGTGACACTTCGCTGCGACACAAACAAATATATTTACCGTTTTAATGTTTCCAGATATTTGATATCAGGACGTTGAGCTGAGAACTGACAAGTTGAACGTTGTCCAATTAAAACGGACCCACCGCGGTGACGTTTTTGGTGGAGCTGTTAGTTTAATAGTCGACTTGGAAGAAAGCGAACGTTTTGACAATAAGCTACATCAACACAACAGTATGTGGAGTTAAACTGGACAGCCCCAATAACCTCTGAATAGTTCTACTTGTTATTAAATTGCAATGTGAGCGGCAGCCAACGGGGGTGCATTATGTCGGCAGGATCATTTAAAAGGCAACCGGGACTACATTGTGCGTCTGCCCCATTTCTGATACCGTGGTGGCAGAAATTTAACAGTGGCGGGCCGCCGCTCCAAAGTCAACATAGAGGAAACACTGGATTACTATACAATTATTTATTATCTACACAGGGAACTATTTAACCATTTAGAGGCACATAGACGTCAACTCATTTTCCAGCATGTAGAGAACCCTAGAGCGGTTGCACACTGGGTCCTGCGATTGCCCCATTACATATGATTATAATAACTCTGTTAATAGACAGTTCAGCTGTGTGCAACTTGATTGATGTAGTTTTAATTAAATCAATCAATCAAACAAAAAAATGTTGGGTCGTTTCAATTCGTCGTTGTGTGAGCAGCCCAGCTGAGGAATCTGAGGAACCACTCCGGCCTGTCAAGATTTTATCGAAGCAGGCAGCAGCAGCAGTAGTTCTCAGTGAAGTGACCTTACTGCCTCTGCGCACATCTGTGCAGGGAACCGGTGATAACATGAAGAAGCCTTAACTTTAATGCAATACTTTAAGATGTGGGCCTCTCCACACAGAGAAGCCTTAAAGACTGCAGCGCAGTCAGCAGCACTCACTGATGAGGATTTTTATATTGTGTAATAATTGTGTTGTTTGTTTGGATGTATGATGCAAACATTTGACTGTACTGTTTCAGACATTGTAATAAACAGATTCACATCAGTGTAGACTGTGCCATGTATGCTGAAATAACTGTGTGACTGTTGATGACTGATGGGTGATATGAAGCGCATTTCTGGAAAACCACATGTTTCTGCCCAAACTGACCAGTTCAAGTGCGTCAGAATTACAGGAAAACAGTTTCTATATGACAGCAGCATGCAGCCAACATTATTGAAAAGACTCACAACCTGAAACCAGCGGGTCCTGCCCCCTAGCTGGTTATATTTTATTTTTTTCAGTTAATTTTAGTTTCCAGAGCTTTTATTAGTTTCAGTGTATTTATGTATTTGTCAGAATAGGTATTATAATACAAACGTATTGACTCACAGTCTCAATAAACATATGACCAACGCCTCTTTGTGCATGTTTTGACAAATTTGACCAAATTGATAAAAACTTTATATATTTCATGGATATTTGTATTTATTTACGGTTAGATTTGTAAGTGTCCACTATTGTGTCAGTTTTTGTTGTTCTAAAGTCTAGTATTTATGTTTGTTTCACTTGTTACAAATGTTTTACACATAGTTTAAGTTTTTAGTTTAGTTTGAGTTAATTAAAATGATCTTGGTGTCCAGGACTGTTCATTGACTGACTGACCCGGTGGATTCCTGCTAATACCATTAGGAGCACTAGGAGGAGCCAGTGAATATGACAAAAAAAGTTATTGATATAAAGGTTACCTACTGCAGCTTTAATAAGTCACTCTATCTCAGCCTAATGTAGTGGAATAAGTCACCGGTTCTCCTTCAGGGCTTTTTTTGTAGCCAGGTGACTCTTCTTCTACCTCTGGATTTTTTTTATATTTTCAGACCAGTCAGTATACAAAATGAAAGCCCACCCGAATTTGCACACACGCACACACACACACACACACACACACACACACACACACACACATTAATCCACCCTCAGCAAAGCGTTGTTTCCTCTTTAGGCGTGTCTGACAGGCACAGAGCTTTCACTTCTGCGTGGCTGCTGCACTTTGCCCCAAACTCTGAGGTTGGATGTTGGAGGCTGAATCCTCCTGGAGAGATGAGTTTCTACAGCGATGCGTCCACTGAAGACATGAGCGACGAGCTGGAGACATTGGGGTAAGAGGAGACCTTCCACCTGCTGTAGGAAACCGCGAGAGGCGAACGAGTTCCGGGCTCTAATGACGCCCTGTACCAGACTCCGTGCATAAATCATGCAATTAAAAGAATTCCTACTTATTCACAAACCTATGCGCTCTTTAGAACATGTGTTGGGAGTAATTACTAAACTGTAGTCTGTCATGGTGAGACCGGCATTATAATGATCTGTTAGTAACACTGCCATAACTTCTTATGACTTCTCAGCCTTTTCCACTGCTGCTTTGCAGAGTAGATTTTGATAGAATAATTACATAAACATAGTTTTTATATACAAATATAATTTGTTCTTAGGAATTATCAAGAAATGGTTTTAACTTGTATTAAAGAGTATCTTTTGTCTCACAACACAGGCAGCATTAAGTTCCTTGTCTGAAAGAATGTTAAGCTGCTTCACTGTGCAGCTGTTCCACTTCTAAAATCTGATTTACAAATAAATAATCCTGAAGGCAACAAATTCATCTTACAAATACACTCAGGGCCCTTTTTATTAGGTACACCTGTATACAGTCTAATGTAACACAGTACAGCTCAGTCATGAATATGAAGCTTTAAATGTTGAGTTTTTGTTGAGGTGTGTTTAATATTCTGTCACTAACTACAGCTACATCAATGATACATACTGTATATCTGAATGAACACTGCTGTGGCACTGCAAAGTGTAGACCTATAGAATATCTGTTATTGATTTGTCTGATTTGTCCAGAAAGATAATAGCTTGATAAAGAATATTCCAGGACTTAATGTAGGCCCAACCCAGAGACAGCCCTGCGTTCGCCACTGGTGGGCTTGGGGGAAGGACGCAATCGGCCAACCAGAAAATCATCCTCCACCTCTGGGATGCCCCTATAGTAAAAGAAACATAATAAAGTGCCCTTTACAGTTGCCCAATGTGCAAGAAAATGTTATGTTGGGTCGCAAAGCTTTACAGGGGGTGGTGAGGCTTTCTTGATTTTAAAGAGGCAGAAAATAAATATAAAAAATATAAAAACAAGTTAACCAATATTATAAGGGTATGTAGGAAAGAATACTATAGTAAAATATTATTAAAGGAATATGGGACATATTAAATAGTATTATTAAAAATAGTGCTAAACAACAGAGCTACCCTCAATATTTTATTGATAACAATATTAAAAAGTACAATATGGACGATGTGGTCAACAGCTTTAATCATTTCTTTGTAAATGTTGGACCAAACCTGGCAAGAAAAATTCCTGATCCATTGTTATCTGAGGATTGGAATGATAACCTCATAGTGAGAAATCCCAGTTCAATGTTCCTCACAGCAGTGGAAGGAAAAGAAATAATAGATATAGTAAATAAATGTAAATACAAAACATCTACTGATTCAAATTAAATTGATATGAAAGTTGTAAAAAAGGTAATTGAGGGGATTTCAGAGCCACTTACCTACATCTGTAACTTATCATTCCAAACCGGAAAATTTCCTAACAACATGAAAATAGCTAAAGTTGTGCCACTGTATAAAACTGGGGATAGACACCACTTCACAAATTACAGGCCAGTTTCTTTACTTCCACAGTTCTCCAAAATTCTAGAAAAAGTATTCAATAACAGATTAGACAAATTCATAAACAAACATAAATTACTTTCAGACAGTCAATACGGATTTAGAGCAAACAGCTCAACATCACTGGCATTAACAGAATCAACTGAGGAAATCACAAACGCTATAGATCACAAACTGCATTCAGTTGGAGTATTCATAGATCTCAAAAAAGCTTTTGATACAATTAATCATAACATATGAATCAATAAACTTGAACAGTACGGGATCAGGGGGTTAGTATTGCACTGGGTGAGAAGTTATTTAAGCAACAGAAAACAATTTGTGGGGAACATTCATCGTCATGCTTGGACATTGCTTGTGGCGTCCCACAGGGATCAGTATTAGGTCCAAAACTATTTATACTTTACATAAACGAAAGTTTCAAAAACAATAAAATTAGTATTATTTGCAGATGACACTAGTATTTTTTGTTCTGGGGGGGATTTACATGAACTACTGGGGAGGATCACCACTGAAATGTGCAAACTGAAAATGTGGTTTGACAGAAACAAATTATCGTTAAACTTAAGTAAAACCAAATTCATGTTATTTGGCAATTGCAATAAGAATACACAAGTACAGTTACAAGTAGATGGAATGGACGTTGAAAGAGTATATGGAAACAAGGTTCTCGGGGTAACAATTGATGATAAAATAAACTGGAAGTCTCATATAAAACATGTACAAAGCAAACTGTCAAGAAGCATTTCAGTTCTGAGCAAAGCAAAATACATTCTGGACCACAAATCTCTCCACATTCTCTACTGTTCACTGATTTTACCATATTTACAATACTGTGCAGAGGTTTGGGGCAATACTTACAAATGTACAATACAATCTCTATCCATACTACAGAAAAGAGCCATAAGAAGATTTCATAATACCGGTTATAGAGACCACACAAATTCACTATTCTTAAAATCAAAAACATTAAAATTCACTGACCTGGTTAATTTCCAGACTGCACAAATCATGTACAAAGCAATAAACAATGTACTTCCTGGAAATATTCAAAAATAGTTTTCTTACAGAGTTGGGGGTAATAATCTGAGGGGTGAGTTCAACTTAAAACATCTGTGGGCACGTACAACATTAAAAAGTTTTTGTCTTTCAGTTTGTTGAGTGTTGAGTTGTGGAACAGACTGGGTGCTCAAGGAATGTCCAAGCATGATCCAGTTTAAAAAGCGGTACAAACACATGGTTTAACAAGAAGAACATGTTCGAAATAAAAAAAGAGAAAGAGAAAGAAAAGGGGGGGTAAAAAAAAAGTTTAGATTATTATTCAAGATCTAATCTTTGAAGATAGCCTTGTCCTGCTTTAGAAAGTACGCAGTTAAAACAAAGAGCTGATAGAACAACAGGGTAAGCATCAGGGAGAAGAAAACACTGAATTTGTCAAAAAAGAAGAAATGAAGTGTGTATGATTGTTAAAAAATGAATTGTTTGTTCTACACGAACCTCCTGCAGTTATTGTGTTCACTGTTTTGGTTCATTGTACAGTTTATTATTTGTTCTCTACTGTTATTGTTATACACTGAATATAATATGAAATATCTATAAAATAAGTCACTAAGTGAGTTTACTCAGTGCTACAAAAGGGCTGCCTTAAGGATAAACATTGAGAACCAAAATGAGTCGGCCTCTGCCTGCCTACCTGGTTAACTGTTCCCTGTTTTTATTTTAGAGGCATAGTGGCTGTTAGGGGGTGTAAGAAAATTGTGATATTGTATATCGATTCTCAAAAACACAGTGTCTAAATACAGATCTCACTGTTCTGGTTGCATAAAAAAAAAAATTTCAAAATCAAATCACAATATATCACCTTGGTTACAGTATCGCAATATTATATTGAATCATAACCCCTGTATTGTGATACGTATCGAATCGCCAGATTCTTGCCAATAAACAGTGCTCGTAGGTATACTTTAAACCTGGGTCACATTATAAAACTAGAGTGCAGATCTTTTTAGATAATAACTGCTACTAAATATGAATTTATGGCAGGTCTGGTTACACTGCATTACTGACTTGAATCAGCGGTGAGAATGTGTAACAGTTTTCTATGAGAGCTTCATAACCCAGCAAACACACAGAAACACTTCAGCCAGGAGTCCAAAGGGTGACACAGCTCCCCATGTTCAGGCGGTGTGAGCTGATAAACCTGTAGCTGCTTTTGAAACAGGGACTGAAATGTCACATTTACTGCCATTTTCCTTTGTATATTGCGCTTCTCTTGAGCTATGAACATCAGTATTTCTTAATGTATTATCAGCAACTCTTAATGCAAATAATCAACTTTCACATCCTCTTACTAGTTTCCTTTGCATCTGTCTTACACTGAGGTTTGTTTATCTGCAAAAAAAAACATCCCCATTTCCTCTGAAAACCTCTATAAGGTCTGTTCTTCAGTACTGTTTCAGGCAGATAGCATCTACAAATAGCATCCAGGTGCTGCATGTCACTTCTCAGTGTTCTAGTGGTTGATGTGGACCAAACACACAAACAGAGCACCAAAAGCTTTGGAACAGCCCTTATACTGTACATCTCTCGACATGAAGTCTTTTTACTATCATGTTTTCCCTGAAGATGGCAATTTAGATGAACCTCTTTTTCCCACAAGAAATGTAACAGATACAGTATTGAGTTACTGCTTATTTCTTCTTTTTGGTGAAGGTGGTACCACTATGACCTGTCCCGCCATGCTGCAGAGGCCCTTCTCTTGTCCAATGGGACTGATGGAAGTTATCTGCTGAGGAACAGTAATGAGGGACCAGGCTGCTTCGCCCTGTCTGTCAGGTCAGTGTATAACACCGTCTTTCTAAATGGAAGAAATACACACTGATTTTGGTCAATTTAACTGATAAATGGTGACACCATGAACATCTCTTGTCACAATAGATCACTGTTGTTAGAACTTAATGGTGGACCTAGTTTAATGCAGTTCAACAGATGCTTAAGTGAGTGTAAGGCTCTTTATAGTACCTTATTTGTACAGACCAAAATGTGTATGTTGCACCAAGTATGGATCGGTTAGTTAGTCAACTATTCAATTATTTGCCAACAATGATCAATTAATCATTTTGAGTCATTTTTAAGAAGAATAGTCACATTTCTTTGGCAAACACCAATCACCATTTTTTGACATTTTAATAATGTCATAAAGGCATGAAATGGTCTTAAAATGACAATAAGATCGTTCATAATTATTTCTGGGACAATATATTGTCCAGCAAATCTTCACAGGCCTACTTGTTCATTGATTGTTTGATCAAATAGTTTTAGAGTTAAATCGTTTGACAGCATTTTATTAAGGAAGAGTTAAGAGCCATACATGGCAAAACATTTGACACAAACTTTGGCTTTTTTTGTTGAATGAAAAAGAGTAGTGTTGAAGAAAAAAAACATATCTTTTACAGGGAGCTATTGAACGTGGTATTTTTTTGGTGTTGTATTTGTGTATTGTATCGGCACTAATTAAAAACCAAGATAAGAAACAATACAACAATTATTTGGTATCGTCTTTTAAACTGCATTCTGTCACTGTATAATGTTTTTCGCATGTGAACAGCATTGAAAGTGCAACATTAAATGTTTGTCGTTTGGCACACAGGGCAAAGGATTCTGTCAAACATTTTCACGTGACACGCAAAGACAACGGCTACGTGTTTGGGTTTAACGAGTTTGCAACCCTTCATGACTTTGTCAACCACTTTGCTAACCAGCCTCTGCTGGGCAGTGACACAGGTATGTTCACCAACAAGCATGCTGCATGTTACCAGCGCATACTGTAAAACAACAGATTGCACTGTTGGCTGTCTTTCTGGTTCAGTGATACACAACAAATGTAACAGCTTCTTTGAGCCCCTTTGTGGTTATACTAGAAATAACTTGTTCCAGCACAAGTTCGTCTTACAAATGTAGGTAAGGCTCACATATAAACAGGAAGTTGTTTGAAATTAGGAGTCTGTGCAAAGATGCAAGAATGGGAGTGATGTGATTTCTTAAAGCCTAGAGGCAGCATTTTGAAAGAGCCGCAGGCAAGAGATTGAGGCCATGGTAAAGATAGTTACACTAGTCAAAGTGAGAGAAAATAGATTATAAAAATAGAGAATAGTAGAAACTGTATCTTTACTATGAGCTGCAAAGACCTGGGCTCAGATTTCAGGTCACTCACAGCCTTTCTGCCGTTTTTGAAGGGCTCCTTGGATTTGCTGACGTTGACCAGTAGGTTGTTCTCCCAGTCAGAGTCAGAATCAGGTTTATTGCCTATATAAGTAGGTTTTCAGTAGGTTAGAAAATTGTCAAGCTGTCTCTGGACAGGCACAAGTAATAATAGCCAAGTGTCCGAGACCCCTCCAGATAGAAGCACTTTCATTTGCTGTTGAACTTTTCTCAGACTACAGTCGTTCATCCTTCCCCACTGCCTTGTTAAACCTGCATTTTGATGCTTCTGACCTGTTTCTGTTCCCACTCCTGAACACTACTTGCTTTTGCAGTCGTAGCTATCTAGTTAAGCTATCTGAGTTAAGCTGTGAACCAGGGTTTGTCATTGTTGTAACTTCCAAAGAAGCTAATCTATGATGTCACAGCCTGTGTACTCGTCCAGACTGTTGGAAGCAGTCCTGTTAGTCAGTACAGTCCGAGCACGCACAGAGATCCTCCATAGCTTCACTGTTGTTGTTTTTTGATGTCTTCACAACTGGATTACAGAGCTTTAATATCTTCCTGTCTGCAGGGATCGGATGGACTTGAGCATGGGGGACATCACAATAGGCACTGTTGATTGTACTATAATAACAATCACTGCCCTAGAGGCAGGGCACACTTGGAAGCTGACTTATTAACTTAGTTGACTGACTTTTATTTTCCTGATTTATTTTAATATCTAATGAGGAATGAAAAAGATGTCTATTCTTTACTTTATTATGTACAGCACCTCACACAAACTAGCAGACGCCCAGTATCCTTGTTAATGCACATATAATTAAACAAATAGAAATGTTTTTTTATTTAATAAAAAGGAAGATATTATAAAACTCAGAGATAAGTCTTTGGTTAAAAAACAACAACAAGATTTCAGGTTAATCAGGAACAATCCACAGTGCGGGCTGCTGGCCAGCTGTCAGGCTGAGGCATTACAGGATTGCTACACACCTTTTCCCCGTGTTGCGTAGCACACATGACATAATGTGCATGAAACATTACAACACTTCCCAGCATTGTCAGAAGATCTCCACTCCACATTTTCCAATTCAACAAGAAGAAAGTCCCACATGTCCTTTGTGTTGTATTCTCTTAGTCAGTCTGTAACCGCCCCTCTGCCTCTCAACCAGGAACCCTCATTGTGCTCAAGTGTCCGTACCCGTGGCGTGTGGAAGAGCCGTCCATCTACGAGTCTGTGCGAGTTCACACAGCCATACAAACGGGCCGCACGGAGAATGATCTGGTGCCGAATGCCCCATCGGTATGACACCTCCTGCACACACCTGCAAGCAGCTGATGATTAATAGTACCTTTGTGATGTGACATGTGATGTGATATGATCAAAATAACCTACAGGAGGTTCAAATTCAACTTTCTTTGTAAGTCAGCATTAAAAGATAATTCTACATTATTACAGCATGGGTATTATATTTATAGTTTTTGGCCATAATTTCTAACAGTTAAGTAAATCCTCTACTCACCAGTGTAACTGATTGTTTGCTAAACCCCACCACTTAACAGCAATTGTCCAATTACATAAAAACTGTTAATTAGGCACGGCAGGCAAGTTTTGTATTTCTCCACATGTTGATTGTGCATGGAGCTTTAGTAAGAGCAAATCTCGATATCGGAGGAATATAAATATCTATTTATTTATTAATTATATCATGTATGCAGCCATCAGGTACAGGTAAATGAACAGTTCTACTGTTCTATCTATCTGTCTATACATACTTGTCCTCTTACCTGCAGTGCTATTTATCCATTCAGGTGGTTTTGGTGTGAGTAACCTAGTTTTCTCTCCAATATGATAGAACCAGATGGCACTCAAAGTATGCCTCGGTTGCTCAAGATAATCCACAGACCTTCTGAGCAGTTTCATGCTCTATTCTATTGTCTTTCTATGTATCACTGCACAGAAGGAAATGTGCATCTACTCATGGAATAGTCGATTTCTAGAAAGACATTGTTGTTGAGTTTTTTAAATATATTCTTTTGGCACTTTGAGCACCACAAGCTGAGCGCCATTTGGTTTTATTATATTAGAGAGGCAGACAGCCGATATCTCCAAAACTCAGCGACTCACATCAAGGACCACAGAACTGGTAGGGCCAGTAGGGCCAGATTCAAATTCTTCAGTTGACTCAGCATATGAGAAAGCAATACATTCTGCTATCCAAACGTGTGTTGGCTGATTGTGTCATTTGACGTGAATTTAACTTCCCCCATGCAAATGCTGCCAGCCTGCTGCTGCTGCGTTCCGCGGTCCATGACTCACACCAAAACAATCTACAGCAGATGGACAAGAGAAACTGTCCCTTTAACCATTTGGCTACTAGGGCATCCTAAGCTGGAGCCAAGCTTTCAACCACTTTTCTCAGTCTTCAACATCAAATGGAGTTGTTGGCTCAGTTGGAGTTATTTCTTGACATAGCTTGTTTCTTGTACAAAGGCTGAAGGAACAGCGATGGGGTCATACATCTACCCCACTGTAGATTTAACACTGTCTTCAAACTGCACTGCTTCAGTATTGGCAGCTTCACCAACCTCATCAGTAACCTCAAGCCACACTTCAGTGTAACTAATAAACAGGAAGAGAGTGGCACCTGGGTTTATGAGAAGGCTGACAGCAGCCTAAGTACCACATTGTACTGGAAACCCGCTCTTATGGCACTTTAACCACAAAAAGCATAAAATTAGTGATGAGGACCGTCTGACACAGAGCACAACATCTGTCAGGTGGGCACTCTTTGCCACGATGAGAATCCCACCCTGGTTGAAAGATGACACAGCTAACTCAAGAGGGACCACCAGACCATACTAACTAAACTGAAATAACTGAGCCAGCAACCTTACTGATGAAGAACCGTGAGATGTTGCTGAAAGCTCCAAAAAACAACCTTGTAACTAGACCTTGAGTTAAGATTATTTTGGCCAAGACCTATTTTGGGCTCAATGTAGAATAATGTGTCTACTAAAACAACACATGTCTTTTCAGCTGGGCACAAAGGAAGGCTATCTGGTGAAACAAGGAGCAATTGTGAAGGTAAGAGCGGTGAACTGTAGGGGAGTTACACCTCACATAAATCCACTGTTACCAGGAAGCTTTTTCAGCTGAAAATCTTATCTGTCTGAACACTGAGGAGATATTTACAACACATTCTAAATGTAAATATGTTTTTCAGAACTGGAAACAGAGGTGGTTCACGCTCAACAGATACGAACTCAAGTATTTCAAAGACAAAGTGGTGGGTCTCTCGTCGCTTTGTGTGCTAAATTTGCAGTTTTCACAACTTCACACAATCATAGTATGAAGATAGAGCAGTTAAGTTTCAGATGCTTCTAGTCACACCAGACAAACAACAGGGTCTGAGCTTGTGGTGTGTAAACTGTAGTGTCTCTATTTCAGTGCGAGGAGCCCATTCGAACCCTGGATCTGAGAGCCTGCTCCGCAGTCCAGTTTGACTACTCTCAGGACAGAGTCAACTGTTTCTGGTAAGTGATGGTCAGTCAGTGATCTGCGCTGAGAGGATGTGTCATTTTGCATCAATAACGTAACTTGGGAATTATAAATCAACCACCTGTGTGTCTGTGTTCATCCAAAAGAATGGTATTTTTGGCGGCCGCAACATGCTCCAAAACTCATGAAATGCAGCACATTACCTTAGCCCTAGCCCTAGCCCTAGCCCTAAACTAAGCCTAACTTCAGTATACATTCTCGAATCAGCACAAAACTTAACATGTCTGGGAATAGAGCCCTGGCCTGAATACATATGCGTGCCATAGCGCCACCTACTGGCAACAATAAGTAAGCTTTGGATGGCAATCATCATCTGATTTATCATGTGGTGTATGTGTGATACACTGGCTCATGACGCAACCGCAGAACCCAAACTGTGATTATCTGTCTCATGTTCTACTGTCAGGATGTAGTGAAAATTTCAGCAAATATGACAAAAAGTTATTTTTATAATGGTTACCTACTGCAGCTTTAATCACTTTCAGATGCAACTCCAGGAATTACAGGAGACTAATGTTTAGTCTTCAGTATGTGTCAAAAAGAAGATTGATGGATCAGTTGTAAGCATAGCGCTATACTGCTTTTTACAACTCATCAGAACCTGCAGACTAATTCCAATTATGGCAAAGGCGTCTTCTGCGGAAAATTGCAATACAACGGAGCTTGGTAATTAGCTGCATCAGTTTCTGATTCAGAAATTTAAAATGGTTTTATGATATTTCGCAAAATAACAATTTTCCCATGCATTCAGTTCAGTGTTGGCAATAAAAACAGTATAACAATCTAAGTAAATATTACCGCAATTAGTTATGACACTTTTCAGTAAAATATCAAGGAGATTGATTTTCTTAACAAGCGGAAAAATCGGCTGTGGTGAGAACAACCAAGACCTTGCAAACTGCAATGCATTGTGGGTGATATACCCCCCTGTAGTGACCCTTGTTGTTGGCTCACTCCCCCAGGGTCGATCTCACTTCAGTTTTTTAGGCGAATGGAATGACACTTACGATGGCGGCGGGGATTTCCTCGAGGGCAAGTGCTGGGGGGAAGTTAACAGGGCAGATTGAATGACTAATGAAGCAACATTTAAAGCTCTGAAACAGTTAACAAGTTCCATGCAATCCCATGCACTTTGTTGAGTTACATAATCAGTATGTTGAGAGGAAATTACATTTTTCAACAATTTCAATAATACTTACATTTTTACTAGCATAAATGGTAAAAGGTCATCTGTTCCAGCTTCTCATACATGAATATCTTCTATGACAGTATATTGAATATCTTTTGGTTTGGGGCTTTTGGTTGAACAAAGCAAGACATTTCAGCTCAGGCTTTTGTAAATTGTGATGGGCTTTTTCTACTATTATCTGAGAATTTATAGACCAAATGATTTATTTGATCAACCCTTAAAATAATGAACACTAATCAACAATAAAAAAAATTGTTAGCTTGAGCCCTTTATCATTAAAAATACAGAATTATAACAACATAATATGAACAGCCACACACCAAATGAGTAAAAACATGTATATATGATGTAATGAAGAGATATGAATATTTGATATTGACACAAATATCAAAAGTACAATGTGTGCAATATGTATTAGATGACAGCAACAATATGAAGAAAAAGCAGACGAGATCAGTCACAGCACTGCAGTCTGAGGCCGTGGTTCTACTTCCCCATGCAAGCAAAATCTGACATTTGTGTTGTTCGAAAAAGGGGAAGTCCAAGCAGTTCAATAAGAGAAGGAGAGAGGGGGAGGGAAGGAGAAGTGCACATGAACTGAAGGGCAGCAGTGGCTTTATACAGAGGTTGCAACCACTGACCACCCTTCACCTTTTACACAATGCCTAGTGTGCACACTTATCAGTCCAAACAGGAAGTGCTAATTGTCCTTCCCTCGTCTTCTGGTCATCTTTCTATCAGACCAACAGGGTTTCTGCACTGTCAGCTTATCCAATAATACCTGTCATTAAACTCACTTACAAAATGTAATTACACTGAGACACAGTCTGGATACACGCCACTAGATAATATACTATGATGCATAGTGAACTCACCCTTCCTTTCCCATTAAAACTGTCCATATCTGTGTGTGTCCACAGCCTGGTGTTTCCTGAGCGAACATTTTATCTTTGTACAAAGACGGGTGTGGAGGCAGACGAGTGGATCAAGATCCTCCAGTGGAAACTGGTGAGTGCTGGCAGGAAGTGGGATATTTTTACTCAAAAGACACTTAAAGAACTGTTGATAATGTGCTGCCAAGCTCTGGACGTACTGGAGCAAGAGCCTGTATTCATGGAGATTTTCGAAAAGCATTCTGGGAAAAAGGGGAAATCAACTGAAGCTCAGTAGGAGAATGCAAGGCTGGTTGAGGGAAAGTTGATCATTACAACACTTCATATGACTTCATGATAAGCTTGTGTAATATTAACCCACTTCCTTATTACTGAAAAATCCTGTTTCTTCAGCTGCTGGTCCTCTGCTGGTTTCAGATTCAGATAGCACCAGTTTGAAATGTAAAACTTTACATTTAGTTCTAGTAGTATAGTTGATACCCTGTATCCTTGTGGCCCTGAAGAAAAGGTTGGTGTGTTTTAACTAAACTTCTGCTGTATTATTTTCTTCATTTATAAAGTATATTCCTTCATGAATGAATGTAACATGTATTGAGCTATAGGGAACAACTCAGTTCAGGCGATGCTCAGCCATAGACAAGTGGTACTACAGTCAGACCTAGTGCTGGAAACAATTCATATTTCCTACTGATTTGCGTGTCTTGAGTGTCTTATACCTGCCAGCAGGGGGCAGCTCCATTGGCTGCAATAAAACACAGATACCATGCAGTCTAACACCTAATGCTCTAAACTCTACCTGAAGCGGAAGACCGGAAGGTTTCTGGAACCCAAATGCGGATGCTGAGAGGTTAATTAATAAACTCATAATGTAAACTAACTAATTTGATGGGTTTAGGGAAAGCTCAGTGGGACATTTGTTCAACTCAAAGTCAGTTATGTCATAATGGCTCAGTAGCACAAAGTCAATATTTTAAGAAAGTTTCTCAAAATGACATTCAGAATTCATTTTTTTCTCATCACATTGGCTGAAATGGGCTTCCATAAGAAGACAACTTGAACTCAAGTGTTTTCATTAGTGTACAATCACCTGAAAATAAGAGTCGTTGGGTTTTTGTTACCTTACAATGAGCTGTTTTTACCCACAGAGAGCGAGTCGTTTTCCATGCTGCAATGTTGAACCACCATGTTTCTACAGTAGCCTTGAAGGGACAAACCAAACACATTCTAGATATGGGCGTTTGTGTTTTTCGCGTGTTTTGTGGCCACTGTAGTTTCTCCAACTCCTGAGGGAGATCTGCAACTACACCACTGGATGCCACTGAATCCCACACACTGGGCCTTTAAAACAAACGCACAGTATTTAAAGGATCATTTTCTTTCAGTGCACTGTTTACAGCCAGCAGTGACACCCTCTTTGTTTCCAGTCACAGATCAGAAAAGGTCGATGACTGCTGGCAGCGGAGACACTGGAGATGGAAAGAAGCCCCGCCCTCATGGAATACGTCACATCAGCTGGGCGAACGATGAAGAACAGCAACGTTTTAAACTGAACAGTAAACTTTAGAATACTGGGACACACGGACTGACTGCCGTAACAACACGGATGTGACTCCACTTGGCTGTATATTTATTTAGTACAAAGATGCTTTATTTCTCATGAGTTGAACAGTTGCTTTCCTTTCAGCATGAACATTTACTTCAACAGTTATTTAAAGGGGATTGTAGCATTGTTGGTGCGTCTCTCAGTACTTTCCCTGTCTGTGACTCTCCGCTGCTAGTGAGGAAAAACAGCTGGTCACTGTCACACTGTATTTTGGAGAATTTTCCTGAGTCAGAATAAACTACATTAACGATGGCTAGGAATAGACTGATGATCGGATCCAATATTCTTCCAATTTGAGGAATTGTTATTTTTCTATAATAAAATAAATGGATTTAATAAATTAGATGTAGCCCTGTCTGTGTCTGTAGTCTCACTCAGTATCCTGCCACAGCAGATTGATCTGATTGGTTACACATCACATTATAGTCGACACTGAACGCTGCTGTGCCACAGACAGGAAAAGACAGGGAAGTTTCAAAATGTAATATATAATAATAAATAAAGTGGTGGAATGTAACTAAGGTTTGAATTAGTTACCTTTAACAGCTCCATGTGGCTGCAGGAGTCAACTGAATCTGGGAAACTCTGACAGAAATCTTGCTCTCTGGTCTGGTTCTCAATACAGGGTTTGAATATGTGCAGTGTTGTTAGGGAAACGTAGTAATGAAGAGCAAACGTGCAAACCCTGATAGCCTAATGGGTAAGGTGCACACCACATAGCTGCAATGTTGAGTGGACTTTTGTTGCATGTCATACCCGAAGTGGGCACGAATACAGCAAAAGGTTTCTTGTTACTAATTTTAACACTTGCTCATCAGATGTGTGAAAATAAAATATTAGTGTGAGAAAATATATATAATTAAAGTAATTTGTTGATATACATTCTATACAAACTCAATATGGGTCTGGCCACTTATATGAAAAGACGATTATAGACTTGAAGTGGCCAATCAGGATATCATGGAGATGGAAGGCTGCAAATTCAGGGATGCATGCTGGGTGATTTCTAGCTAATGAGTACAATATTTTTCCAGTGGCTCTTTTCTTCTGTTGTGTTTCTGTGTCATTCAGTGAACTTGCATTCGATATATGATCATATTGTCATTACATACTTTTATTTACAATCACAATGAAAAAGCACAGAGACCACTTTAGGTGCTAAAAATGAACATTTATTCGGACATTTGATTTGACATATAAACTGTCTTAGCTGATGGGGAGCACCTAAATTCTACAGAATATGGCAGAAAGCAAAGAACATAAAGTGTAGAACAAAGTACAAACGGGTCAGAAGATGTTTACACTTCAGCTCAGTACTTGGAAGTGTAAAAACCTCCAGACAGGTTTTCCCACGGGACTGAATGCACCATCAGAGACCGAGAGATTCCAGTGAGCGGGTGTGATCCAGGCGGGGGTCCTGCTCAGGGGTTGTCCTGTCAGCTGGAGCTTATGTCACCTCCACCACCTGCCTCAGCTCCTCTATTAGAGGAGCCAGCTCCTTCTCCAGACTCATGATGAGACCTGAGGACACACAAAGCGCAGCGGTTAGTTAGAACGAGTGAGAGAGGCATACGTGGAAAATAAAGCGAGGATAAAATGTAATGTCTGAACTTTCTTCTGATGAAGAAAAACAGAAAAGGGGTTGTTTTTTCATTTTCCAAACAAATGGAAAATTGGTTGCTTTCCATTTTTTGTTCCCTTATTTATAGTATAGAGAAAACCAAAATTAGGAAACAAGCTGTCTGTTGGCCACAAAGTACACAGACCCAAAAGACACTATCTAACAGAGATTGTGAATGAAAGATTTAATAAGGGATTTGTTGGCTGCAGAGCTTTACAAATCACCCAGCGGAAACAAAGTGGAACCAGCTATCGGAACCCATCCCTGTTCATCCATCATGAAGCCTGTGCTTTTTATCTTTGAGTAAAGGGGAGATGTTTTTTACCTGTGTTGGCGTTGCTGCTGGCGATGAAACTGATGACCAGCGGTAACCGGTTGAACTGCACAATCTGTTCAGCACAAAGACACGGCAGACATGTTAGGACACAAACTGGGTAGACTCAAGGATGGGGGGGGGGACTGGAAAGGGCCAACGCTTACATAATTCATTGAATCATAGCTAATTCTACATACAGACAGTATTGGAGAGCTGGCGTCAGACCTGGTAGGTGTTGTAGTAGCAGATGATGCTCTTGTTCTTGGAGAGGCCCAGCTTGCTGCCCTGATCCGTGGCCAGAGCGAAAGTGGACAAGAAGCCGGGTCTCAGCGCGTGGACCGGGGCGTTGTCATTGGCGACTGCAGGGACACGGAGGTAACGTTAACAACAACTCTCCAGACGGTGAAAAGCTGCTCCTCCTCCTTTCTGCCCACACCATTCATTTCAATCATTATACGCGTATGTAACTTATTTATTTCTCGTATCAAATCAGTGTATGATCATGTGTTTTTACTCACGTTTATACCCTCACAGTGCAAAGCAACAGACGGAAATACTCTCTGAAAAGCTAAATAATCACCCCACCGTCAGTCTCCCAACATTTCCAGCTTTCATTAATGCCAACTGCTTACAGGATGGATATTATACTTTAGAATTAAATGAGTCTCCATATGCTAGTTTTAATTATTCTGGGGATTGCAGGCTAGGAAACAAAAATGATCTATCCTAACTAATAAAAAGGCATTGGTATTTAGAACCAGTACTAAACCAAACCACAGGTTCCTGACTGGTCAGTACTGATACTGCCATTGGTATTTATCTAACAATATCTAATCAGCTGAAATATGTGGGCTCACTTTATTCAATTAAATGAAAATGCTGCTAAATGCAACAACTCAGGAAATCATTTAACTTGGTATTTCTGCAAAATAAGTAATAATAAAATAAGTTTTCACATCTTTTTATGTCATGTCTGCAGCGAATGATGGCGAGTAACATCAATAAAAGTATTAATAAGCATCTGTAGTATGAGCATTAATAAAATGTATTAGAGGATATTCAGGGAAACCAGGTGCCAGTTCTGTCTGGTTCTGTCCTGTTACATTTCAGTCTTTGTGGAATATTTACAGAACCAGTTTAACTTTGACATAGGGAGCCAGCAACTGATTCCATACCTGAAAATACAAACCTTTCTCTGTAATCCACAGCAAGTCAAGCAAATCAGATTACAGTGACACAGTCCCAGGGAGACACCCGTGCTCCCAACGAGAACACAACATCATGGATCACTGTGGTTACCCTATGCTGCGGGGTTATAGTGCAGATGCATACAGTAGGGATCACCAGCTGGGAAATTCTGGGCAGATCCTGATGTTTAAAATAGCAGTTTGGCTGATACCAATGTTTCTTTGTTGTTATTTATTTACCCCTTTGTGCCAGGGAAACACAGAAATCTACAAAGATAAGCATCTCCGCGTTGTTGCAGCTCAACCTATTCCCACTCCAGTCCGAGCTGTGAGATCTGTGCTGCTGCACGGAGCACAGCGGGATTCTTTGTGCCAGCGCTGCAGAGCGTTGGTGATTATTTGTCTAACATCTGAGCTGGAAATAACCAACAACAGTTAGCCAGCTCAAAATTGATGCGACACAATAGATAAACATCCGCCACTGATATTTGTGAATACCATCTTATTTAGGCTGATGTCAGTCAACAAGTCAACCAGATGTTCACATCCAGATCATGCAGCCATGTGACAGAGAACAGGCAGTAGCCAATATACAGAGGACAGCAGGACTCAGAAATAGTTCCTTACCTTTGATAACTGGGACACCGTCCCTGTCCGTCACTACAATGGCATGAAGACCTTCAACACTGAGGGAGGACAGACAGACTGGAGATCTTACAAACTGCTCAGACACTATACATTCTGGTAGCTTTGCCATTATGGAGCAGCCATCATACACACCTTTGCAGCTGTTTGTACAGGTATCTCTTCAAATCCTGCAAAGAAAAACACGATCCACAGAGAATAAGTTAGACAAGCTGCTACACGAGTGTCCCTGCCAGAGACACAGCTGAACAATCTCTCCGTTTAATGCAGTCTGTACAATATCATCTCAGGGTAGGTTGGTGGGGGACACAGGGCTGTGAGTCGGTGGCTTTCTCCTGAGTTAACTGGAAGAAGAGACAGACAGACAGACAGACAGAGAGACAGAGAGACAGGCAGGCAGACAGACAGACAGACAGGCAGACAGACAGGCAGACAGGCAGACAGGCCATACTTACATCCGCCATGGCGGCTAATGCTGTACCGTGTTATCCAGAGCTCTCTGCAGCTGTGGGGAGAACACAGTTAACCGGTGTGTTAACAGAAGTGCTGCAGTGAATAGAGAGTAGACCACTATGCTAACATGCTAACTAATGGGTAAGATAAGTGACGTTACTTCCTGTAGTCAGCCGACGGCGTACGTTCACTGCAGCTTTTATTTTGAAATGATAAAGTAACAGATAAACAAGAACAACGTTAAAACCGGACCTCCGTTCACATACGTTACCTTCTTTGATTCTTTATTTCACTGACTTCACATCGAACAGCTGCACAGCAGTCAGCAGGCAGGGGCGAAATCACATGACACACTTGTTTTGTTTCCGGTGTTCTGACGTGTTCTGACGTGTTCTGCTTCTTCTTCTTTGCTTTTTTTTTTTTGGTGCCGTCTAAGCTTTTAAGGTGCATACCGCCACCTACCGTACCCCACTACGTAGAACAGTCAAACGTTAGTTACATTTAATTTAAACACAGTTATTTATTGTCATTTACATCACAGAGTTGTATAATGAAATTTAGATATAGTTCCCTTTATGTTACTTGTAAAAAAAATAGATAATAATTTAATAATAATAATAATTTAATAAATTAAATAAATAAAATAAAAATATATAAAAATGATAAATACATAAATAAAAATGATCGACTGCCATGGAAAAGTTAAGCAGTCTTACATATACTATAACTGTATATTAGTTTATTCTGTATGTTATTCTATGAATTGAATTGTCTTGTCTATGTATGTAGCACACTGACAGTATGGACAGAGCTTCCAGGTCCGTGAAGTGAAACCAGTGTCTTAAACCTGCATTCTTTCTAATGACCAGCAGGGGGCAGCTCCATGGATTGCAAAAAGAAAGTCTGATAGTATTGAGTCTTTCCTAATGAGTGTATGGTCTCAATCTCTAGTTTCAGCCTTCTTCCATACAGCATGATGTTCATTTAGTAACTGATAGTCCCATTTAGAGTAAAATAGACCATAAAGCAGGGTATGCTTTGGGGCGTGGCTACCTTGTGATTGACAGGTCATTCTCAGTGAGTCCGTCCAGCTCAACGCACCAAACTCAGATCAAACTGTCAAACTAGGCAGAGCTGATCAGATATAAATGTAATACGAGATTGTGTTTGACCAGGCCAGCCTCCATTGTTTCCTGCTACAGATGAGTTGAAACTGCACAGCCAATGAGAGCAGCTCAATTTGCGGTACGTCACCTCTGCTGGTTGATTCTACTTGTACACTGTGTGCAGTATATTGTAATATATTCTGACAGTACCTGTTGTTAAGTAAAGACACATCAAGCATACACTGAGACCTTGCACTTTCAGTTGTAGAAACAGAACCAAGAAGAACCGAGCAGTTGTCACATCCCTGAGACCAGGCCTAAATATAGCCAACTATTAATAGAATATCCTAACAGACTGGGCCTCACATGTTCTCTGCCCTGACGACACTACACAACTCTGAAGTGGCTGGGAGGAAGTGTTCCGCACTGTTTGGCTGTGTTCTACACTACCTGTAAACAGGTGAGCTTACTGAGGAGCCCAGAAGAGGTTGTGGTGTGACCTGTACGCCCGCATGCTTTAATACTTCTACTAATACTCAGATACTTTTAAACTGTTTTCCATCAACCAGAGCCAGTCAGAATCATTTTGAATGTTAATAATTTGACTGTTATTTTGATGATCAGTGGTTATGTGTGCCTGCAGGGTGAGGGAATGAGGATAGAAACTTGAGTTGAGAAGAGATTTCTCACAGGGTTAGGATTAGGTAATAATTGCTGGGACATTAATGTTAGTTCCTGCTGTGAGCCCAAGAGTCTGATTCACTGATTTTGGGAACGATAAAGAAACATGAGTGCTGTGACGCTAACAAGACTAACAACAGGGAGAATTAGGAAGCATTGAGCAGCTGTGAAGGATGCACCAGTCAAACTGTCTGTTCTAAATGAATGCGCTGGAATGAACTGAAAGAAAACTGAACTTCTGATACTTTCTGTTAGTCATCTCACATCCCATTCACTGTTCGACTCGCAACTTCCATCTGCTGCCAGTCCTTTGTTTGTCAAAGTCTTGATATTGATTTGGGGACAATGACATGTCTGATAGCTAGTTAGTCTTGTTGTTCAGCATAGTGTCAAATGATATTAACCCTTTGTCGACCATACGCAGTGTTACTGACTTTGAATCTTGTTAGCATCAGGTTAGCTCTCTGTCTCCTATCTGAAATGCTCTATGAGCGAAGGGAACTTGAAACATCTCCTATTGCCAAGTTGTACCTATGGTTTTTCCTATTCACTGGAGTAGTGAACAACGTTTCCATTGCATTATAATTTTATGGGATGGTAATGATTCTTCCAGGTATTAGTCAAACCCTCAGGTGATACCAGGAAAACAACTTGTAAAAGAATGCAAAACGTATGAAAATAAAAATGAATGATCTTTTTTTTTCTTGCTTTGCCAAGTGACCATAGCATGAGCTTCATGGTCCTCTGTGCATTGGCTGGTTTTGGCCTCCACATCGTCCATTATATCCTGATATTATTATTCATATTATAGTCATAGATAGTCATTATTCCTTACTTATACACATCCTGAGGACTGAATGACTGATGGAGGCCTCTGTTCTTCTCTCTGCACTAATGGAGTGTTTTCTTTATTTCTGTTGTATTGTGTGCTATTTTGTCTTGACTATGTTCTTCTGATTAGCATGGGGGACTTCCAGCAGTTTGAGCAGGACTTCTACCAGACAGGATATTTCATAGATGACCAGGGTCAGGCTGTGGCCTACTACGAGACCTATAATTCTTCAAGTCCTGCATATTACGATGAGTAAGTATTCAGACTTTTGAGGATAGCTATAGATTGTGGCTTATCTTACCTGTCTTATCTTACTGCATCCTATCTTATCTCAGGTTAGGAAATCCTAAATACTCAATTCAATATTGCTTAGCCTATCTTTATGTCAGTAACCTAGCAACTGAAGCTATTTTTCTCATCTTGTTGGTTTTTCTCATTGAAATACAATACAAAATATGAATTTTGCTGTAAATCAGGGCAGCCCAAACTTAATAGTCAAATACCTATTGTACTGTGTTGACTTGTTGTTTGGCAGCCCTGCTGTAGATCATAAAGTAAATCCTTATATGAACGTGGTAAACTTAAGTCCACTTGAGGGCGCCAGAAGTTGAGGTATTTTCACTGGGGCTGTCCAAAGGCATTCTGGTATAAGTAGGGTGGCAGGTTTTGGAAGAAAATTGTAGTTCTTACACTAAATAAATCCTGGAATGACTTGAACATTACTGATTGCTTACACCTAAGACCAAGGGAGTATGTATGATTACTGTACACAACACAAGGCTGTACAACAAAATAAATGTTCCTACCTGAAAAGCACTCTTTTCTATACTTTTACAGTGAGGGTTTATATCAATATTTTTTCTTGCTACTGTGTTGTTTTCAGTGGATCACAGGCTTTCATGCCAGATACTCTGGATCCTTCCATGGAGCAACAGTCCACTGGACACTTCTACCAACCTGCAATGCCTTCTGGGACTGTAGGAAGCACGGGCACAGATTCTTACGAAGAGGAACCTCCCCTTCTTGAGGGTAAAAAGGTCATCTGTTTCTTCACAGCTAAATGCTTGACAATGTATGTTTTCATTGGGTCATCATAACTAACCATGTTGTATTAGTTTAAATCTAGCTAGCAGTCGTCCGTTCATATAAAGGGTCAGATGTGCTGACCCCAGGAAACAGCTGGGGAACCAGCCACCAGGAACTAATCACTAAAAGCAACATTCCTGTAGACACACTTCAAATAAAAGCCACATGGCACTGGGGCTTCACTCCATACTAATAACCAGAAAGAGTTACTCGATGACCAGCCAAGTACCACCAAGTACAAAACTGGATTTTCACATTTGTGTTTTCTCTCTTTTCTGTTCATCATCTAGAACTTGGCATTAATTTTGACCACATCTGGCAGAAGGCATTGACAGTGTTGAACCCTTTTAAGACTGCAGATGGCAGCATCATGAATGAGACTGATCTGACAGGTCCCGTCGTCTTCTGCATTGCACTGGGGGGGACTTTAATGATGGTGCGTATGTTACTGTCTCTCTCAACCGAGTATATGACCCTTACTTGGAGCCCTGTTCAGTGAGATTTAACAAGTCTCTGTTTCTTTATTCTCATACATTCAGGCAGGTAAAGCTCACTTTGGTTATGTGTATGGGACCAGTGCTACAGCCTGCATTGGGATGTACATTCTGCTGAGTCTGATGAGTTCCCTGGCAGTGTCTTTCGGCTGTGTGGCCAGTGTCCTGGGCTACTGCCTTCTGCCCATGGTGGCCCTCTCTGCACTCGCTGTGTTCTACTCTTTACAGTAAGTCCATTCAGTGGTTGTGCATTAAATGGTAAATGGTAATGTGTAGGCCTATGAGTGTTGGGGGAGTTGCCGCAAAAATTAAACGGTGACGACTGTCGCGTTAAACCCTTAATTTCAGAGCAAAGAAAATCTCCAGAAAATGCCTCCACTGTCTGGAGGTCATTATTGTTAATCCACCCGAAGCGCCGTGGCACGTCCAAGAACAATCAAATATTTAAGCACTCTAGCTGAGAAATTTAAAATTTGTGCACAGCACTTGTACCTTGACTTTTTTATCAAATAACCAGACATTTTTCTAACATCGTCGTTAAGCTTTTGGGACAAATGATTTAACCAGGAGAGTTACAACAGAAAATTCATTTTGTAGAAGCGTCCAACTGTGAGTCACAGACACTGTCTTCGGTTATAATGACTTTTATATCGGGAACCAGAGCTGCATTAAAGAACTCCTCCCACTTTGCAACTCTATTAGCTGCACCTTTAAAATGCTTTTATGCCACCATTTAACCAGCACCAGCATCCTCATCAATAATAAGTCAGAGAGTTCAGGGCAGGTTGACTTTAATAGTTAAGTTGCTCTTTTTGTTTTCACAGAGGCATCCTGGGTACAGTTCTGGCCTTGGTAGGGATTTGTTGGTGTAGTTTCTCCGCCTCCAAGATCTTCATCTCCACCCTGGCTATGGAGGGCCAGCAGCTGCTGGTGGCGTACCCCTGCGCTCTGTCCTATGGGCTCTTTGCACTGCTCACTGTATTTTAGCTATCACCAGATTGAACCTAGAAGGAAATCTTTATAATTCAAAATGTTTTTTCACTTCCTTTTCAGAGTTAAAGGGTAGTTCTGTTTTTACCCCTTTCTATTTGTCTGTTTAGGTAACGCTTTCACTTTGTTTATAAGGTCCAGTGTGTAACATTAAGGAGGATCTATTGGCAGAAATGGAATATAATATATATATAATATATAATACTCATAGGTAAGTTTTCATCAGTATGTAATCACTACATAGCGAGTGGATCCTCTGTAGTCCATCATTTGAACCACCCTGTTCTACAATAGCCCAGAATGGACAAACCAAACACTGGAGACAGAGAGGGCCTTTCACATTTTTTTGTGACCTAGTTTCTCTTTTCTTCCCTTGAGTCTTTGATCCCAATCTGCAGTCTCACCACTAGATGCCACTGAATCCTACATGCTGGTCCAACTAGGGGTCGCCGAAGCTTCACGGGGGGTTGAGAGTACTTTTAAGGGGTATAAGAAAACATACAAATATACACATTTGGCCAATTTATTTTGTTAATTTCTGTGAAGAAAACTTTTGATTGTTGTTAAAGATCTAAACTTTAAAGACCTGAACACAAAATTCACAGAGCCTTCACACTCTAAACAGTCCTTGCATTAGAAAAGTATGCAGTTAAAAGAACCAATACTGAGTAATAATTTACTCAGTGATCTGTAGCAGAGCAAGCAGGGTGCAGATAGTGTGACTGCCCCGGGCTGACCCAATCTGCCTGACTGAGCATGCATCGTTGTTGTTTAACTGAATATTTTGAATGAGATTTGTTTGTGTGTCTTGATTGTGGCAATAAAAAAAAAAAAAAAAAAAAAACCAGAATCAGACCAGCACATAATCTTTGTTTTACTACATTTACATACTAGTATCCCTGCATTAGTCTTTGGTTTTAATATCAGTCTCTGTCATTTCTGCACTGAGGTGTGTCTGACTTTCTTTTATGTCTTGTTTTGTGATCCAATTATTATTATTATTTAGTTTTACAGTTTACATACATACAAACATTGCATACTTTACAATTTCTACATGCACTGTAGTGTAGTACGTTATTTTAACCAACAGAAATATGTAAATAAACTTAAAGTAAGATTCTTGAGGAAGCAGCTTACGCTGTAATTTTAAGTGACACTAACATAATTTGTAAGTTACAGAAACATTCCTGATGAAGTACTAATTAATCTTATATGTATTTTGTTTTCACAATACAAATAAAAATGACAAAATTAAAATGTATTATTATTTAATAATTATTTTAAAATGTATATAATATGTATAATACTCATCCGAGAAGTATCCATCTCAGTACCTTGCTGTGCTTCATCCACGTCAGAGGAGGAGCCCACATCGTCGTCGTTATCGCGTTTTGGACGGTTGAAGCCCCCCTGGCGGAAGTGGCAGTCTTGGAGGGTTGGTCAGGGTTGTGGCGATGGAAATTCCTGATGAGGTTGTTGTCCAGGACATGCCGAGCTTCCTCCGGCGTGAGGCTGGTGTGACCCACCTGCATGGGTTTCATTTGTGCCGACTGCGGACTTGTTGAGGTAAATCCAGTCTCAGGAAGGAAGCAGGACCGGGAAGGTGGACGTCATTCAGCCTACCGCCGCTGCCTCTCCCAATGTCTCACCTGGATGCAGTGTTAGAAATACCCGTCAATATCTGGGGGGTCCCCATCTCCCGATGCAGTAGGCCTATAACATTACACAATTTCATGGATACAAGCCAAGACAATCAGTCTATAGCCTACATGACAACACACACACGCACACACTTAACAATTTTTGATAATCCAATATGCTATAGTATTTGTAAAGCAACACTGACATAGGAGGTTGCATTGGCTAAAGGAGAGGCAAAGTTGTGCATTACAATGCAGACACAACAATAAGGCACTTACAAGAGCAATCAACTCAATAAAGGCCAGGTACAGCCTATCGGAGACTGGCACGCAATCAGTGCACTTGCAAATGAGAGCCGTATGACCGCGTGACATTATTTAACCCTCCATCTACAGCAAATACGATGAGACAGATACATCATTGAACACATACACAAAGCACATTCGCCTAACCGTGCAAACAGGCCATCTCTGAAATTGAAAAAAGCACCACGGCGGACGCTGACAGACAACAAGGCGGGTGCCTCTCTCTCTCTCTCTGTCTCTCTCTCTCTCTCTTTCACACACACACATGCCCACACATACACACACACGCACTCACACACGCACACAATCACTCCAACTTCTCCAACTCCAAGGCTAGGCTGCTTCACTAAGACCACAACCAACCACAAGGCCTACATAACCATGCAGTATGCCGAAGCCGGAAAGGAGACACGCACAGTTGTACACACTCATCTTATGCACAACAATCAGTTCTATCATCACAATTCAGTCACTGCAAAGATTGAAAAAATAGCCTCTTTTCTTAAGTTAGAATAGACCAAAGATGCCTTGGCTCGACTTCTTGTGGTTGTCGTCCTGGTTTCCAGGAAGAAGAGAGGCGATGTCCTGCTTTAATCCAGCTTCTGACGAATGGAACTGGGTCGAATTTGTCCAGAGGAGGTCCGCTGAGGTCCACAAACAGGAGTGAAGACAGGCTGTCTTTGCGCAACCTGTTGCGCGTCTGGTTGCCTGTGTTATTAACTGCGGAAAAGCCTTGTTCGCACTCAGCTGACGTGGGGAGATACATGCGACTTGCTGTGCACAGTCTTTCCAATGTTTTCCCCGGTGCAGTGCCCTGTAGTTTCCATCTATGCACCAGGCAGTGAACAGACTGCACGTTGGGAAACTTTTCTTTGAGTCTAACGACAAGCCCACTGGCTTTTCCTGTGAGCACCACAGCTCCATCGGTGGCAATGCTTATCAGGTGCGTCTTCAAAAAGTCATCATCCATTCCAGCTTTATGTAGACTTGCCATCATTGAGTTATAAATGGATTCAGCATCAACCCCATCTGTAAGTTCCACTAGATCCAGGAAAACATTGTCTACATCCCCCTTACCGCTGACATCACATTTTACGTAGATTATTAGATAGGGACTGCCATGAATGGTGCTTTCATCAATTGTGATTGACACCCATAGACGAATTTGCAGCGCATTTCCTTGGCAATGTGACTGATTATTTCTGCGCATGCATGGTCAGATTTGTGGATATTACCAACTTCGGCTCCATTAAGCTCAGCACCTGCTGCGTCCTCGGAGCACTCAGCCTCAACTTCATGTTGTTCTTCTGGGGAGTCACTGGGTGGGAGAGGATCCTCTGTTCTGGTAGCGAGTGGGCCCACTGTGCTAGCTGCACCAGCATCGTCTTTCGGTGCCTCTTCATCTCTGAGTGCCACCTTTTTGGATGTGAACCCAAAGTGTGTGAGTGATACACTCTGGTTTAGCTTTCACTTGCTAGCCATGTTATGTCTTTCTTCTGTTTGGCGCACATGGCTAATTTGCATATGGGCACAGGACTGGCTGGCTCCGCTTGGCAAAAAATAGAACATATTTGTGAATTAATGTTTTGAATTTTGAATACTGGACATGGTGAGCTTAAAAACATTTCAGTGACCATTAGTGACAATACATTTTTGTCATTGGATGCATTGTCGCTGATTCCACCCCCTCAGTACCCCCTTGATAGGGCCCGCGTTAGCCACTCTGAGGTGATTGGGTGCAGGCGCAGCACTGGGAGATTTAAAAGCCTGTGTGCTGCATTTTTGTTTACCTCGCTGCTTTTATCAACAATAAAAGTGTATCACAAGTATCACAAAGTCAATATTTTGAGTAGTTTCTCATTATAATGACTTACAGAATATTTTTTTCCGTCACATTGGCTACCATAGTAATTAATGAGTGAATTTGTTATTTCATAATTTTGATAATAAATTCCACTATATTATAGACACAATATAGTTTATTTAAGCTTGTAATAAACTATTACATTTTTAAAGTATTTATTTACTTTATTTTTTGACGTCACCCATTCCCAAGCCTTGAGTTTGGTGTTTTGGCCGTCACCATGACAGTACCACTCACAGACAGACCCAGTGGAGGTAACACACTGCGAGTTGAGCTGCTCTCATTGGCAGCAATGTTTCAACTCATCTGTTGCAGGAAACAAAATGGCAGCTCGCCTGGTCACACACAATCTCATATTACAGATAAACAGTACACTAAAATATGTTTCTGAAAGGATTTTAGGAGATGAATAGTCAACGCAGTAACAGAATGTGGATCCATATTCGATCAGCACTGCCTAGTTTGACAGTTTGATCTGAGTTTGGTGCGTTGAGCTGGACAGACTCACCGAGAATGACCTGTCTATCACAAGGTAGCCACGCCCCAAAGCATACCCTGCTTTATGGTCTATTTTACTCTAAATGGGGCTATCATTTACTAAATGAACATCATGCTGTATGGAAGAAGACTGAAACTAGAGATTGAGACCATACACTCATTAGGAAACTTTACTGAGCTCATAAATCAATTCAGAAGTCTGCTCATTCTCAATAAAACTGCATGGTATTTGTTTTTATTGCAGCCAATAGAGCTTCCCTTGCTGGGCTTTTCATAAAATACAGGTTTAAGACACTTCACATATAGAGATTGAGACCATAAACTCAAAAGACTCAATGCTATCAGACTTTCTTTTTGCAACCCTTGGAGCTGCCCCCTGCTGGCCATTAGAAAGAATGCAGGTTTAAGACACTTCACAGACCCCGGAAGCTCTGTCCATTATACTGTCGGGCCTGATTTTTTTGGTCCTGATCAAAGGCTGTGTTGGCTGTCCATGGTGATGAAGTAGAACACGTCACTGTAATCTGCAATTCTCTCTGTTCCACCCTCCCAGCCAATAGGCTCTACAAGGTTCCTCGCCCCCTTTGCAATGAGCCATGGCCCCCCTGTCAATGATAGAAAAGGGGTCCCTTCCAGTGGTGTAGCGGTCCCTGGAAAAGTGGGTATACTCTAAATTTTTACCCTTTTTTAACGCAGCCCAGAAAAACACCCTGTTTTAGAAACAGTGGCATGTAAGACTACTCTATTTAGTTTAATCCGTCAGTAGTATTTGCTCATTGTCACATAATTTCTGCTGCTTGATCTCAGGGAGGAAGGATTATGAAATTACTGAACCAATACTGGCCCACAGACTAGTGAGAGACAACTATGCATTTTGAGTGAACTATTCCTTATTCCTGGAATGACACCTATTCTCTCACTTGACAAGTCAGTAGTTTTTTTGTAAACTGTCTTTGAACAGCTGATAGATAGATATTATATGATATATTATATTTATATTAGATATATAGGTATTACTGGTCACACAGGCAGCCTGCATGAATGTAAAATATAGATGAGGCAAACATGGTGTTTCAGGCTGTGAGCGAAGAGGCAGCATCTCCTTCACTGACAGCCTCCTCTCCGACGGGGGTGGGGGGCAGAGTGGGCGCCGACATTGGTCTTAACTGTACCGGTGTAGCATCGCTAACATTAGCTGAGCTGCTGGCTGATGTTGATTCGGGAGGACGTTTGAAATTGTCAAATTAAATTTTTGTTTGGATAGCTCGCTTCATCTTACCGGTTCATTACAAATCCTAAAAGCAAATCATTTGAAGTAAACTTGTAAAAGTGAATTTGTCTTGAGCAATATTTACCTCGGCATGACCCGCCCTTCTCTGCCTCCGATTGGCTTCATCATGCCTAAAGTTAACCAATCTAATCAGTAAAGGCAGCGAGTACTAGCCAATTACAGGCAGAGTAGCGTAGGTCATGGCTTCACCATCCTAGGGAAAAAATGGGCAATTTGGCTCGCAGATACTACTGAATGGTGGTGAAA